GGCTGGCATGTGGTGCTGGGGATTGAACCGTGGTCCCTGTGCTTTGCTAAGCTTGTTCTAAGTAGGTGCTTTAGACCACTGAGCCATCTCACCAGCCCCTCAAAAGACTTTTTAAAAAAAGAATTCTCCACTACAACTTAGCTCAGCATTTTCACATGAAGTTCACAGAACACTGGCTGCCTAGGTGAGGCCTGGCCCCTGGCCCACATGCTGCTGACAGTCTTCCAGAATAAACTGATGCATCACCCCATTGCTTGTGGAAGGGGGATGGGACAGCCAGAATGGTGGCACATTCCCCTGATTATAGCCCTCAGGAAGCTGAGGCAGAAGCAGCCACACAACTTTGAACCCAGCCTGGGGTAGGCAGTAAGTTCAAGGCCAACCTGAACCACATGGCAAGATCCTGTCTCAAAGAAATAATAATAATAATAATAATAATAATAATAATAATAAAGGGGCTGGGGAAAAGGGAAAAGACTGACTTAGGTGTAGGCTTCCAGAGCTGGAAGTTTCTCAGCCTGTGCTGGCTCCAACACCCAATGTACCCAAACAATGGGAAACTGGCTTCCTCTTTGGGTCAGAATCCAGCTGGTTTCCTTGTTCACCAAAGAAAGAAGAAAATGGAATCCTAAAATTTGCTTTTAGGGCTGGGAATATAGCTCAGTGGCACAAGCGCCTGCCTGGCAAGAACAAGGTCCTGAGTTCAACTTCTGGTGCCAAAACAAACAAAAATCGCTTCTAAACCACTAAGTGTTGGACTTCAGTAGGCCAACCACTTCCTGACAACTCTTGTGCTACTGTCATTCCTGGGCTGGTTTTCTTCAACCAACCAACCAGGGCTGGAGGTATAGCTCAGGGACACAGCGTTTCCCAGTTTGTGCAGGGCAGTGGGTTTGACCCCAAACATCACAATAAGTAAATACATACCCAGGATAATTGACATTGCAAAGGCCAGATGTGAAAGCTGAGTTCACAGTCCTGGTCAGTCCACCTCATCACGTAGGAGACAGAAAGCCCTGCCTCCCAAGACCTCTACCTGGGCCGTCCACTACCTTAGTGCGCTTATAAAAGAGCTTCATGGGGCTGGAGAGATGGCTCAGTGGTCTGAAGCACCTACTTAGAATAAGCTTGGCAGAGCACAGGGACCGCGGTTCGATCCTCCAGCACCACATGCCAGCCAGCCCCGCCCCCTGGTGGGCTGAGCTGGCCACACACACGATAAATGTAATAAATAAAAATAAATAAATAATTTAAAAAAAAAAAAAAGAGCTTCAGGAACTCTTCCCCAGAAGTTCCTTAAGAATATGGCTACATAGCACCACTTGGCATTAAAAGTGTAACTCACAACATTTAATTTGAACTCAACTTCAAGAAAAATAAGCATTGGGGTAAAATGAGGGCTGAAGACAGAAAAGAAAAGGTGACGGCCTTGTGCCCTGAGTGACTCGGCAGAAGATTCCCAAAGACTAGGAGCGCGGCAGGGTCGAACAGCAGGTGGGAGACTTGACTGCAGTGACCCTGTTCGCGGCCTTTTCTGAGCGAGTGAGCAGCCGTTAATCACTCTCAGCCTGACTCCTGGCTGGAGTTTGTCAGCCTTCCAGACACAGGACCCACGACATTGCGACTCTCTGTGCTGCACCAGAGACCACGGACAGTGCGAATCTGTGGGCACGAAAGGAGATGGTGACAGCTGGGTGTCACAGAAGTGACATGCACAGTGTACATCCCTGAGCATGGTTACGGGGACAACAGGATAGTCAGCCAGACAGGGGCTACAATTTGCTATTAAAATGATGTCTCCAATCTTTGTTGCACAGCAAAGGAGGCGGCAGACAGACACTGGTTCAAAAGCTCAGGCAGCACTTTGACCTTAGCCACCTGGGATGCTAGCAGATGGCTCTGGGGCAGGACAGAGGGCCCCTGTCAGCAGGAGGGACCCCTGTACAGTCCTCAGGGCCGGCCGGCATTGCCAGTTCGCAGTTGGCAAGTGGCTGAGCTGCAGAAGCAGGTACCGTGAATATGGTGTTTTACAGACTAAATCCAAACCCAACCTCCAGCTCTGAGGCTTCACAAAAGGCTGGGCTGGGGGGAGGAGGGGGGAGGGGAGAGGAGAGGAAGGAAAGGACACAGAGCCTGGCAGCGCTCCCCAGGAACTCTATTGTCACAGTCAGAGGACCCTGTGCGTGGACACAGGGATGACAACCCTGCTCACGGTAAGCGCCGGAAGGAGGGACTTCGGGAGCATGTCTGTCTCCAGCACGCGGGGCCTGGCCGCGGGTAAGGCAAGCTTTGGGGAGTTCCGGGGAGCGCCCAGCCCCCTGGCTTTCAGTTTGTAGTTTTGCAGGCCGCGCTTCTGCAGGAGCTGCAAGGTGGCGAGGTAGGGGAGGGCGCTGGGGTGAGGCGGGCACCCGGAGTTCCTCCCGGGCGGCAGGGACCAGCCCAGGCAGCAGCGCTCCGCATCGGCCAGCGGGGACCGGGCCGCCGGGACAGGGACCGAGACAGCGATGGGCAAGGCATCCCGGGGCGGAGGGTGCCCGGCCAGCGCGAAGGGTCTCGGCTCCCCTTTCCCATCCGCTGTTTTCAACTCGTGCGCAACCGCTTCACTCTCTTCCTTGTCGGCGCTCGGCGCCCCCTCTTTTGGTTGGCAGTTCTTACTCTTGCCACTCGGAGCCGCGGGCCGGTTCTGGGGTGAGGCTCCCAGGGGCGGCAGGACCACGAGGGCCTTGGAGTTCGGGGAGTCTGAGGCGACGGCCGCGCCCTCGGCGGCCGCGCCCCTCACACCCGGGACGGCCCAGCCCTCCGCGCGCCAGGTGAACTCCTTGATTTGCAGGCTTTTTTTTCCTTCCGGGATGTCGGAGGGAAGGCACACCCTGCCGGCCTCCCTGGGGGCTGTGCTCGGGCCCCGGAAGGGCGCCGGAGCCTTCCAGTCCTGATTCTTCTCCACGCTCGCTTGGGCCTGGACCGCAGCGCCCGCTTCCACCTTCTTGGGCTCGCTGGGGGGCCTGGCCTCGGAGCTCCCTGGGGAGAGGCTAGCGCAGAGCAAGCAGCTGGGGCCGGCCCTGTCGCCTCCCCTCGCCTTTTTCAGTTTCTTCCTGGGCCAGACGCAGGCGGTGGGAGCAGTCTTTCCCCAGCCTTGGACCTGCAAAAAAAGGCCACATGTTCATCTCTTGGGGGGCTGCTCTAGCTGCCCGGGTTTGGGCCACATTCCTGTTTTGGCCACCGATATTATGAACCAGTATCTTTTTCTTAAAATCAGTTCTTCTTTAAAGCAAAACAAAACAAAAACAACCGTTTAGACCCGGTTGTGGTGCTGCACACCTGTAATCCTAGCAATTGGGAAGCTGAGGCGGGAGGACCGCCTTGAGTTTGAGGCCATTTGGCCTACACAGGGCGCTTAGGGCCAGCCTGGACTACATAGTGAGACACTGTCTCAATAAACCAAAGAAATAAAACCCAAACCAAACCCCAACCCCATTTAATACTTATTTCGGGGCCTTATTGAGCCCCAGTGTTTATAACAGCACATATTAATCCTGAGGGCTAGCAAAATAGTATTTGTTGAGCCAGGGGTGCTGGCCTATGCTTGCGCTCCCAGCACCCAGCAGGAGGCTGAGTTGGGCCAGGCGCGTACAAAACCAGCCTGAACAGCAATGTTTGTAAGTGACCACTGTGATATGTCACTATATTTTCTCAGATGCCCATTAAATTCAGCTCTATTAAAATAAAATCGGGGGGGTGCGGGGAGATGGCTCAGTGGAATATGTGCTTCCCTGGCAAGTGCAAAGGCCTGAGTTCAATCCCTGGTTCCACCAAAAAAATAAAATAAAATGCTCACTTCGACAGCTTGAATACTAAATGAGAACCAGAAGTGTTCATCCCTGTGCTACGTTCAAGGCTTCTTGTGCTGCCAGGCTGTGTGTCTGTTGCCCAGAGAGGCAGGAGGGACAGCAGTGAGCAGGGACAGGGCCCTTCAAGCCCAGATGTAGGTGCCCGAGACACCGCCTCAGCCCCTCATGCCTGGGCACCCTTGGCTGAGAGCTGGAGAGGTCATTGTTAAAATAGGGCTCCGAGGGCTGGTGAGATGGCTCAGTGGTCTAAAGCACCTACTTAGAACAAGCTAAGCTAAGCAAAGCAGAAGGACCGCGGTTCAATCCCCCAGCACCACATGCCAGCCAGCCCCGCCCCCTGGTGGGCTGAGCTGGCGCCACACACACACACGCATAAATAAATAAATAAAATTAAAAAAATAAAAATAAAAATAAAGCACCTACTTAGAACAAGCTTAGCAAAGCACAGGGACCGCGGTTCAATCCCCCAGCACCACATGCCAGCCAGCCCCGCCCCCTGGTGGGCTGAGCTGGCCACACACACACACACACACACAAATAAAATTTAAAATAAAATAAAATAAAATAAAATAGGGCTCCGAGGTAAAAGTACACAGCCACGTCTGAGGTATTTTCGGTGACTGATCTGGCAGCCTTACGTTGCATTTTGGGTGTGACAAGGTTGCCTTAATATGTTAATGTTAGGGTTCCATCCTTTCTTCTCTCTTTTTTTTTTTTTTTTTTTTTTTTTTGGTACGGGAATGGAACTCAGGACCTGGCACTTGCCAGGCAGGCACTGTGTCATTGAGCTATCTCTTCAGTAAGTTCTTTTACTAACACTAAGAACACTTGAAGGATAAACCCATAGGGCTTTGCAGAATTTCTGAAGACAGAAACTCAAGGATCTTGAGGAGCTTGACATCTGATGAAGCAGCCCAGGTTCTGGACCCAGGAGTCCCGGACACAAGCCTTGCCCTGTCCACATCCTGGTTGCACCTGGTCTTTGGCCATTAGTTCCCTTCTGCCTCAAAGTTCCCACACAAAAAGGAGGCCTTATTGACTCCTGAGAGGGGGACTGCATGCATGCATACATTTCATTATTTTGTTTTGTTTTCAGATAGGGCCTCACTATGTGGTTCAGGCTGGTCTCAAACTCATGTAACCCAAGCTGACCTCGAACTCATGGAGATCCTCCTTCCTCAGCCTCCCAAGTGCTCAGATCATAGGCGTGCACCATGCCCAACATCATTTCATTATTTTCTAAATCAGTCTCACTTTTCTGATAAAACTCCTGGTACAGAGCTGCCCACATTCTGAGCAGCCAGATACCCAACAACACTGCTACTGTCGTCTGTGACATTTTACCTCTGTTCCAAGTACTCTGCATATCACTGACTGTACATTTCTGGTAATATTAACAATTGGGGGAGGGCCTGCATCAAGCCCTGAAGGGAAAGAGACCCAAGTCAAGAGGACACTCACGGCTTCTTCCCAGCCAGTGCCAATGGCACACTCATCGCTTCTGGTATCTTCTTCTAAAGTAAGGTCACTGATATCCAAAAGACAGTAAACATGATTCTTTTCACTTCTTTCATCTGCACAAGTAAAGGTTAGTTCAGTTTCTTCTGGGCTTTGAATTTCATTATTTTCATTATTTTCCAAATCAGTCTCACTTTCCTGACAGAGCTCCATTACTGGGATGATTGCTTATAATTTTTAACATCTTCTTTCTGCAATTTGAAAAGTGGATTGAGTTTAGTGTGATTTTTTTTTTTCTTTTGAGCCAGGGTCTCAATATGTATTTCAGGCTGGCCTCAAACTCGCTAAGTACCCCAGGCAGGCCTCGATCTGGTGGCGATCCTCTTGCCACAGCCTCCCTACTGCTGGGCTTACAGGTGCACACCACCACTCCCAGCTGAGGTTAGTTTTTAATGTTAATTAAAAACAAACAAAAAAAGCAGTTAAGTCAGGTGAAGCATCTTAAGACACCGGGAAGTAGACTGAGAACAGCACCGCATTACAAAATCATCCACCGCCAAGCCTCCGCACCACCGAAGACAAGGCTGGGAAGCAATAGATTTAATCAAAGGCCAAAGCTAGAGAGAGGTAAAGAGGACGGCAAGACACCAGCACAGCTTCGACGTAATGGTTATTTTCACTGGGAACTCAGAAAATCAGTAAGCCACACCTCCGAGTGTCTGTGAGGTGTTTCCAGGCATGATTGGTGTGTGGGACAGCAAATGGAGAGGAGCCCCGCCCACATGTGGGCGGAGTCACCTGATAGGTGGAGGCACAAAGGCTAGGAAGGGACGTGCTGGGCAGACTTCCCACAGGCCTGAAGCACAGAAGCTGACCCCTGGCTGAGAATCTACAACTCGGCGAGCCGGGGAGATAGCTCAGTGGCATAAGTGCCTGCCTGGCAAGCACAAGGTTCTGAGTTTGATATCCCTGGTACAAAAAAAAAGAAAATCTACAACTATGAGCCCAAGTAAACCCATTCTCACCAAAGTTACCTTTTCTGGGTATTTTGCCTCAGTAACAGAAAAGACTACAGCACTCGCTGTCTTGCAGTGGGGTACACAATGCACCAAGGAATCGGGCTCAAATATGCCTTTTTTCTTTGAGAGAGGGCCTTGCTAAGTAACCCACGTTAGCCGAGAACTGGCATCCTCCCGCTTCAGCCTCCTGAGAGCTGGGCTTACATACTGCACCCCCACACCTAGCAAGGTAAAGTATCCTAATGTGCCTACACCACCAATGTCCAATGATAGTGTGCTGACGTCAAGTCAGTGGTAGTGGATGTTTGCAGTTTTCTTGGCAGCAGAAGTGTTAAGGTACATGATAAGCTTGTTTCCCTTTAGAAGGGGTTACAAGCTGCTTTTCAGATACTTACAAAACCATTTTTCATTCAGGAAAAATTCAGGAATGAATGCAGGTTCTGATTTTTGCATATTCTTTAAAAAAATATTTGGTACAGGGTCTCGATACACAGCTCAGACTCTTACTGATCCTCCTGCCTCAGCCTCCCCAGCACTGGGATTACAGGCATGCTCCACCACGCCTGGTCTTGGGGCTGGTGTGGGGCTGATGCAGCATGTGGTGCTGGGGATTGAATCCAGGTCCTTGCGCTCGCCAGGCAGGCGCTTAGACCAGCAAGCTATCTCCCTGGCCCTTCTGCATATTCTTGCCATCCATCATTCGTTGTGGGAACTAATAGTTTTTGATTTTGTAGCACTGAAGATTGAACCGAGAGCACAGAGGTACATTCTTTTTTTTTTGGGGGGGGGGGCAGGACCCGGGGATTGAACTCAGGCCCTTGTGTTTGCCAGGGAAGCGCTTATTCTACTGAGCCATCTCCCCAGCCTCTGAAGGTACATTCTTGGCCCCTTTAAATTTTGAGACAGAGTCTTGCTAAGTTGCCCACACCAGTCTTGAAATTTTGAGTCTCCTGCCGAAGCCTTCCAAATAAGTGGGATTACAGATATGCACCACCATGCAGTTGCAGAACTAGCAATTATATTAGGAAATGGGGGTATAAGAGTAAAAATGTGGAAAAGGAATTAATTTACTGACTTTACATTGTTTGTAACAGCCAAAAGGTGGGAAAACCCCAAATGCTTGCCAGTCGATGGATGGATAAATAAAATGTGGCACAGCTCAATACTGACTGTTCAGCCATAAAAAGCAATGAGTTCTGGGGCTGGTGAGATGGCTCAATGGTCTAAAGCACCTACTTAGAACAAGCTAAGCTAGGCTAAGCAAAAGCACAGCGACTGCGGTTCAATCCCCAGCACCACATGCCAGCCAGGCCCGCCCCCTGGTGGGCTGAACTGGCCACACACACACACAAAATAAATAAATAATTAATTAATTAATTAATTAATTAATTTAAAAAAAAAAAAAAGCAATGAGTTCTGACACCTGGCACAACACAATGAACCTTGAAAACATCATACTCAATGAAAGCAGCCAGACACAAAAGGCCACATATTGCACGGATCTACTTATATAAAATATTGAGGATTTGGAAAATTTAGAGACAGGTAAGTGTTATAGGAGCTGAGTGGGGAATTAGCCCGGGGCTCTTTGGGCTGGTGGGAGTGTGCTGGGATTGGATGCTGGCAAATATTCCTAAAACCACCGCTGACTGATGCACTCTCAAAATGGATAAAATCATGACTTTTACGTGACTTTAACCTCCATAAAATAAATACCTCACAAACAGGCTTGTAGTCTAAGCTCAATGAAAATGAATTCTAGATTTGTGTGTGTGTGTGTGTGTGTGTGTACTGACAAGGAAAACAAAGAGTTTTTTGTTGTCCTGCTAGTCACAGAAAGAAAAAAATATTTTCCTAAAAGCTGTTTAAATCATTTCTGAACCAAAAGGAGCTATTTATAGACTATATAAGGGGGACCAGCCTGCACTAAAGTTGAAAATGCAAAAGGCAGAGTAAGCCCAGAAAGAAGCCCCAGGTGGGCTGGGGCTTGTGGTAAAGGAGGAAGCTTCTAGGCGACCACTCACTCTCCAGAAAGGTAACTAAGACCATGAAGATGGTTCCCTAGAGTCCTAGAGAGTGCACCAAAACAAGCAGTCACTGGAGGGAGTCTAGTCTTAGGGAAAGAGACAGGGCTGAATTAGACTCACATTTTCAACAGTTTCCTGTCTCAGTTTAAGAAAGGAACTGGCTGAACCTTGAACCAAGGGGTCAAGGGCTGACAAGACAGCTCAGCAAACTAAGCACTTGCTTAGCCAAGCATAGGGACTGTGGTTCGATCCGGGGCACCATCAGCCCCACTGGTCCCACCCCTGGGCACAATGAGCCAGCCACTGAGACCAGGCATGGTGGAGCATTCCTGTAATCTCAGCACTGGGTGGACTGAAAGCAGGAGGATCACTATGAGTCTGAGCTGTGTGGTTAAGACCCTGTATCAAATAGGTTAAAAAAAAAAAAAAAAAGCCGGGGAGATGGCTCAGTGGAATAAGCGCTTCCCTGGCAAGCGCAAGGGCCTGAGTTCAATCCCTGGTTCCGCAAAAAAAAAAAAAAAAAAAAAAGCCAAAAAACAAAGGGTCAGAGTAGAGGACATAAAAAGGAAACAAGAGTAAATTCTCATGAAGAAAGAGCCAGAAGACCAGAGTATCCCCAAATCCAATGTCTTCAAATTTGGTGCCTGGAATTGAGGGTGACAGTTGCTATGTGAACTGACCACAAGTGTCTATTTTGAAACATGATTCATGTTGATCTGAAACTTACACCTATTGATTGATCAAAGATTACTAAAATACTAATTTCAAAACACAGCAACAAATATTATATTTTTAAAAAGCTATATCCCAATCTTAATAGCAATATTAAGATCAACTATAAATTTAACATTTTTTTCACATGGTCATAAATCTCAATCTTCATTCTATATCCATGTTTTGTTTGTATTAATGGCCCGGAGAATACTGATGGGTAAAGAGAAAAAGTCCAGAGTTTTTACGTCAAAATCTGGCAATAATTCCTCAAAACTCCCTGCCACTGTATTCTGGACTTCTCATTAGCTCTCCATTCATTGGCTCTACACTTTTAGAAACTGTGGGTTTAAAAGAATCTTGAATATGTTGTTAGAATTTCAGAGAAGACAGGTTTCTACTAGCCCATGTGTTGAACGAAGAAATAAATGAACAGAAACAGTCAGACCTGGTGGAGTTCAGTTAGTATCAGACCAAACTTCACACATAGGAACCAGTTAAGCAGATCTTGAAGTTGGCCTGGGCATTCTCATTTCTACTGACAATTTCTACAGAAAAACCCTGTTTTTGTTGTTTGGGAGGGCTGGGACCGGGAATTGAACTCACGACATCATTATTGCTAGGCAGGCGCTGTGTCACTGAGCTGTACCCCTGGCCGCAGAAAAACCCTGTTGGGACTCTAATCTTACAAAGTTTTGGAACACACTGCACAGGGCGCTGGGGGGAGCCCATGCACATGCACCAGCCAACTAGCACAATCTGCTCATGTTTCCAAGGCCATGTATCTTTATCTTCTCGTGTTAATCATCTGGGCCTTAGGCCTATCGGGCTCAGCCGCTATATGGGACTCAGAAAGCTTCCTCGGAGCACGGTTTGTGCAACCCCCGGCCGACTGGTTATTTCTACTCCGAGGTGTCTCCAACCTTCCCACTTCCTCTTCGCAGTCTGCAGCATACAGAAAAGGACAAGGCGTCAAACACCGGACTCGGCCCGCGTCTGCTAAGCGCCGCCACACCTGGCTCCTCCCTTTCCTGCCGCCTCTCCCGTGCAGGCCCCACCTCTTCCGCAGCAGGCCCCTCCCCTTCCCAGACGCCATTCTCTCACCAGGCCCCGCCTGCCCACAAACCCCGCCCCCTATCTTGACCACGCCCACAGGGCCCGGCCCTCCACTTAGCTCCTCCCGGCACCCACCCAGCCATTTCCCTCTTGGTCGAGTCTAGGGCCTCACTGTCTTTCTTCTGCTTCCTCGCCTCTGATAGTCGTTCCTTTAGAATAAGATAAAACCTCTCTCTCTCTCTCTCTGCCGCCCGCGGAGTGGTCTGAGGCGTTGCTCTACGAGCCGGAACGCGACCTTCACACTCTCATCTGGGGCTGAGTCGGTTGGAAGGCCCCAGAGCTGATAGTCCCGGCCAGCGGGCTAGGGAAGACACAGCAGCCGGTGGGCCGTTGCCTGGGTTACGGCAGCGTACGCTGAGAGGCGCGACGGAAGTGACGTCATAGGCTCGTGCAACAAAGCTGCGGGAGGTGTGCCGCTCCCGGGAGGCTGTGCGCGGCGCGTGCGGCGGTGTTGCGCCAATGAACGTGGCGCTAATGACCTACATGGCAGCGTAGCCCTCGTCGTTGTGAAGTTCGGCGCTCAGCCCGCGGCGCCAGGTACGCTGTGGTGGTGACCGTGGGCCAGGACCTCGGGAGCGGCTTCTCGCCCAGGACCCACACAGCTGCACCCAGTGGGGCAGGGGTTCTGGGACAGTGGCCGGCTGGCCCTGCCCGAGCTGTGTGCAGCCCGGCCACGTTTCCTGGGTGAACCGCCCCGGCTCGCCCTGGGGAGAAGCGAGGCGGCAGGGCGGTGTTTTGTTCTTTGACTCCGCGGCACCCGTCGCCTCTCTTGGGGAAGGACCTGTTTGCATTGTGGACCTCCTGGCCCGGGAAACAGCATTGACATCTCCATATAAGTAAGGGAAAGTAGCCCACGTCGTTAAAGTCCACTTTTTGAAAATATTGCAAGCTTCCCACCCGCCCCTGCATGCACGTGGTGGTGCCCAGTGTAATTTGTAGATTTGTATGATAATACAGTGGTCTTAATGTATCTCACAACCCGAAAATAATGGTCTGTATGCCTACATACTTTTAAAAAATTATTAAAAACAAAGCGCACTTTTTAGTTTAAAATTTCATTAGATAGTAGCAAAATATACACTACCCAGATTATCGGAAATGTTGGCATTTAATGATATTATGTTACTCCAGAGTAATGAGATTAAATCTAATTTAATCTCAGTACCATCAACATTTACCTTAAAATACATGAATAATCTGTTCAAAAGATGAGTATTTGCATTGCGTTTTTCTTCCTAAATTTGTAATTGTTATTTTTTGATCTTCCTCCACTGAACTTCATTCTAATATATTTATGGTCCAAGACAATTCCAGTTTTTTTACAGAAGTCAGTTGAGATCTTAGCATAAATATGAAAATGGGAGTTTTCTATACCAATGTCTCAAACTTTTAAGAACATTTTCTACCAAATTTGCATAATCATTAACAAAAATAATAAAGTGCCAGGTATGGTGGTACATGCCTCTAATCCCAGCACTTGGAAGGCAGAGAAAGGAGGACCACTTCCAGCTGAGGGCTGTATATGAGATCAAGGACAGCCTGGACTACATAGCAAGACACTGTCCCAAAATTAAATAAAGCTACTGTCTCAGTTTCTGGGAAGTTACCAAAAGTCCTCGTCATGATTTAGTGAGTATTACAATAGACTGAAAGCGTGTCCTAGGTTCATGTGGAAGCTGGAAGGCCCGGAAACCACTTTTCTTTACACTAATTGTGCATTTGCTAGTTTGAAATCCGTAATCACTGCTGAACTGTAGCAGGTAGAACTCCGAAACCATGACTGAGCAGAAATGTTAAGAAACAAAAGTGATTGTCTTGTTTTTGTTCTTTGAGACAGGGTCTTGCTGTATATGGTCCCGGCTGTCCAAGAACTCAGGAATCCGCCCATCTCCTCAAGTACTGAGATTACAGGTGTGTGCCACCCAGCCCTGCTGGGACAAAAGTGATTGTGATTAAGTCAACATAGATTTGAAATGAAACATCAGAAACAAATACAATTTTGGTGAATTGTTTCAGAAATAAGATATGAATATGCTTAGGAGAAAAGGTGAGGAACACATAAAGAATATATGGAAACTGTAATTTGCCATTTTGCTATAAATCAAATGCTCTAACAAAATGTATTTAAACCAGGCATGGTGGCACACCTGTAATTCCAGCACTCAGGTTAAGGCAGGATTACCATGGAAGGCCAGCCTGAGCTGGCAGGTTGGGCTACATAGGGAGACTCGGTCTCAAAAAAAAAAACCCCAAAAAATTAAAAGCTAAGAAAAAATCTATTTACAATAAGGAAAAAAGATACAAACAAAAAGTCAGTGGTAAACTGCAGTTACAGGGAAGAGATTTAATCTGTGTAGCGTAAGGGTCTCCCCTGAGGGAGGGAGGCGGGTGTGTGGCTAGGTACGGAACAGTGACCGTGAAGCACACTTACTCACAGTAGGCAACTGCTCTACATCTCCTGGCCCATTGAACTAAGTGTAACAAATTAGGAAACAGAAATTCTGATGAGCCCCTTGCAGGGCACCCTCTAGTGATTCATTTAAACCCAAAGCTGTCAACTTCACTTGGGACATGAAAGTCATGGATTTAATCAATTTGGAAAGCTTTCAGAGGGTGTTTGTTTTGTATTGTAGGGAAGGGCCTACAGGATGTTCAGGATAGTGATCCGCCTGCTTACAGCCTCCCAAGAGCTGGGATTACAGGAGTGCACCACCATGCCCAGTCTCAATTGCCGCCTGGGGGTGGGGGGCCCGCAAGCGGCTCTGCAGGCCCGGGGATCGAACCCCTGTCCCATATCTGCTTGCAGGCACTTTAATCCGCTGAGCTATTTAGCTGGCCCCGGAGGGTCTGTTTGGGGCATACAGCTCAGCAGTAGAGCTCTTACCTAGTATGCATGAGACAGAAACAAAACATAAAATTCCAAACCTATAATTTTGGTACTATCATAGAAACAATGAAATTCCTGGTAGTAGTAGCACATGCCTGTAATCTCAACACCTGGGGAGACTGAGGCAGAAAAATCACACTAGCGTGGGCTGTGTTGTGACTTCCAACACCAACCTGAACTACCTAGCCAGACTCAAAAAGGATCATTGTGGAGTTTGGGACCAGCCTGGGTACATAGTGAGCTCAATGCCAGCCTGAACTGTATGAGACCCCATCTCAAAAACACACAAAACCCCCCAAGAAAACGGACAATGAAACTGGCTCTGTATTCCCTCCCTGCCCCCAATTAGCACTACACACTTGACTAACGGAGTGAGCAGCATCAGCCATCTGAAAATACGACGTCACTGTAACTGTGTGTAAGCGGCAAGGAATACCACTGCGCCGTTCTGTGTCTAAGCTCAAAAGTGTCCGTGTGTCCACTTCTCTTCTGTCAGTGGAAACTGAAGTGTGGTATTAGATTCCTCAAAATTCCAGGAGTTGCAGGTTGGGAGGCTAAGGCAAGAGGATCGCTGTGAAGTTCAAGGCCAGCCTGGGCTACACATCAAAAATAACCTGAAAAATTCCCAGTGCTATGTTGATCAGAACTTTCACCCTTCCTTGCTTTTCTAGTGATGAAAAAGCCAGCCACTTAGTTTTGATTAAAGGTGACATGCTGCATGTTATTAGGCAAACAGATTTTCACCTAAGAAAAACCAGATTTGTTACTACAAAGAAAATGTTCTTAATCCCGTTTTCTTTTTTTTGAGAAAGGGTCTCCCTACATAGTTCAGGCTGGCCTCGAACTCACTTTGTAGCCCAGGCTGTGATTACAGGTGTGTGTCGCCAGCACCATCCTTTCACTTTTATGGTGTAAATTCCCAGGGCTGAAGATGCCACTGAGTGGTGGAACAGCCGTGGAGTGCACTAGGGCCTTGGGCTGCCTCCCACACTGCCCAAAGCAGCCAACTGCCTTTCCAGGGCTGGGGATGTACTGGAGGCCCTGGGTTCAATCTCTAGCATTGCAAAAGAAAGTTAAAGCATTTTCCTTTAGTTAATACCAACATCTTCACAAATATTAGACTCACTAAATGAAATATTAACATCAAAAAACATTAAGGTTGAATATTTTATTTGTTTCTGATTGTGCTGCAAAGCTGTTGCCTCGTATAAAAACAGCTCCAGGCGCTGCAGCCCGTTAGAAAATTAAGTGTCTGTCGTCATCTGGTATTTATTATGTAGCTGAGACATGCTCTGAGCATTTCAACCCAAATCCAGGGAGAAATATAAGCAAGTTACAGTACTACGTAAGGCTTATGATAACAGTGTTATCCTGGAATTATGTCATTCTTACACCTAGTTCTTACCACAGATAATTTCATGAATTCTGAATATCAGAACCTACAGCCTAGTCTAAAGATCATACGGTATGTATAAAAAGGTACACATTGTGTTTATCCGCAATCACTAAGGAGTTCGGGGTATTTTCGCCCGGAGCAGTGGTGAGCGGCTTCTCTTCCACGTGTAGCACTGTGAGACTTGCTATCTCAAGTCTTGTGTGCCGCAGACTGCACACGGCCCGCGGAAGTCGCTTCACACCAGTTCACTCTGGTGCCGCTTCACTCTTCAATCGATTTCACGTATTTCTCATATGCTTCTTCGCTCATGAGCTCATCTAGTTCTGAAGGGTCACTCACTGTCATCTTGATCAGCCAGCCTGTAACCAAAAAGCAAGAATCTTATCTTTCAGCTACCTTTTGAAAAAGCCATATCAATGCACAATGTAAATTGCATGCAGCCCTAAGAATTAAGATAGTTGGAAGGGCTGGCCAGATAGCTCAGCGGAGTAAAGCATCTGTTTGGGCAGATGCAGCGGCTTGGGTTCAATCCCTGGCCTGCTGTGCTAGCCCCACCTCTGGGGCGCACTGATAGTGATTGAAACTGGGTGTGGTGGTGCACGCCTATAATCCCAGCACTTGGGAGGCTGAAAAACAGAAGGATCACTGTAAATCCCATCTGTGTAGTGAGACCCTGTACTAAATACATTAAAAAAAAAAAAAATTAAGATAGTTGTACTCAGGCACCATCTTAGAGCTAAGTTTCTGTTTCCTTAAGTTTGTTTCTTGTTAAGTGTTGTCCTAGTTACCTAATCCGATACCACCCCATGCTTTGTCATAAGACTGCTTATTCCCATGGAAAACGTCAAACACCTTCATTTCTTTGTCACAACCTAAGCACATGCTTTGTAGGAGTATTTCTGTGGTTGCACTAAATCATATCAGAAAAAAACTAATCACCCCTCTTGGATAAAAACAACCAAAACCCCCACAGAAACATAATTCTTATGGCATAATAAACATACACAACAGATGTTTTAAATCTGTAAATAAGCCAGGAGTGATAGCACATGCCCTGTAATCTCAGAGCTCAGGAGACGGAAGGAGAAGGATCATCATGAGTTCAAGACCAGCCTGAACTACTTACATAGTGAGACCACATGTCAAAGACAACAAAAAGAAAACAGGGGGCCTGGCCCTAGCTCAGGCCTTTAAGTGGCTGCTTCCACAAAGCTGTCAGCCTCAGGTCGCTGGAGTTCGAACCTCACAACTCTCCCCCTGGCCAAAAGTGCCCTGAAGGCATTCGAGGAACAAAAAAAAAAAAAACAAAAAAGAAAGAAAACAAAATCAAAAAATTCCCAGAACAAATAATCTTTAAATAAATGGATTGCAATATATAATACCAGGGATGTCTTTTCAAGAAAGTGCACACCAACACATAAACATTAGAGTTAGAAGGCTGAGATAGCAGGCACAAGAAAACCACACCTAATCCTTTTTGCCATTGATTAGCTGTCCTACCAGAGGAAGCTCCTTTGGGGCCTGAATTCCTTTTTTCTAAAAAATGTATTTGGTACAGGATCTCATTACATAGCTCGGACTCGGAGTGATGCTCCTGTTTCAACCTCCCCAGTGCTGGGATTACAGGCGTGTGCCACTATGCCTGGACTCTGGCCGGCTCAGCCCACCTTGGGGTAGGGGCTGGCTCAGCATGTGGGGCCGGGGATCAAACCCTGGTCCCTGTGCTTGCCTAAGCAGGGGCTCAGTCTGCTGAGCTATCTCGCCGGGCCTCAGGGCCTGAATTCCTGAACTGGAGCAAACCACTGTTGGCAAACATACCTAGACTGTAGGGACAAAATTGAAGCGCTAACTTACCGTCTTCATAACAAGATTTGTTGACGAGCCCTGGATTTTCTGCAAGTGCTTCATTAATCTCAATAACTTCTCCAGACAGAGGAGAGTAGAGTTCACTGGCAGCTTTCACGCTTTCCAAAGCACCAAACTCATCTATGCGAAGGGAATTGAAGAAAATATTTAAAATGGCAAGTGAAAGCCGGGTGTGGTGGCACACACCTGTAACCTCAGCACTTGGGAAGCTGAGGCAGCAAGATCATTGTGAGTTTGAGGCCAGCCTGGCCTACAAAGTGAGCTCAAGACCAAAAGACCCTATGTCAAAAAGAGAGAGAAAGATAAATGAATGACTTGAAAATATAAACTATTAAGAAGTGACCCCCTCTCATATAGTCATGGTTAAAAAAAAAAAAAAATTCTAGGTGGCCCTAAGTGTTCTGGGCACAGTGAACAACAAATGGTGATGTGCCGGAATGCCAGGCATGCTTTACATTCTGTAAAACTCAGTTTTTCTTAAGCTCACAGTGGCCTGGGGTAAAACAAAACCAAACCCTTAGGAGTTGCTAGCAGTGGTGAGCCTGAGATCGGACCGCCTTTCTGCAGATAACAGAAACGGAGCAAGACATTAAAAACAAGTTCAGGGAGGTTTAGAAGAGTGATCAAAATGGGATACAATCCGAGCAAGCAGGGCAGTGAACCAACTGGGTGTGGCCTTCACTTACAGTGTCCCCTTTGCACCAGGAGCCACCCACAGCGAGACTTCAACTCAAGCAGAAAGCCAGGCAGCCTGAGGGATGAGAGGAGGAAGTGTGGGCTGCCAGAATGACTGGAAACAGGGTTGAAATCCTAGAAAAGGAACCACGGTGGAAAATAAGAACTTAACAAGAATTGGTCCCAGAATGACTTGTGTGTTGGAAGTAGCAGAAAAACTTAAAAGTATTGATTACAAGTCTGTTCAAAGCGAGGTGTGCGTGCACACGTCTGTACTCCTAGTGCTGTGAGAGGCTGAGGCAGGAGGACCGCAAGGCAAGCCTAAGCCCAGCCTAGGCAATGTAGTGAGATGTTGTCTCAAAAATAAGAGCTGGGCCTGGTGGCGCATACCCACCAATACTCAGGAGAGGCTGAGGCAGGAGGTTCACCATGAGTTTTGAGGCCAGCAGGGCTACACAGTGAATCAGCCTGGAATATACAGCAAGACCCTGTCTCTAAATAAATAAATATTCTGAAAGGCTAGGCCTGTAGCTCAGCCTGAAGGCCCTGTGTTCAATCCTAGGAAACAATGTGTCCGGAGACCTGAAGTTCCTCAGTGAGCTGACATACACAGGAGTACGTGCAACGAAAGCTCTTATATCTGATTTGCAAAGCTGATAGTATCCAGAGCAGACTGCGGACAACAGAGGACCCAAGAAATGTGAGGAAAGATCGAATCAACCCACCTCAGAACAGACCTCAAGGTCACTAGAGCGTAAGGCCCCGGGGACACATCAATGACCCGAAGAACGTGGAACTAAACTTACTGAGATGAGAGAATGGGATTTAAAAACATGCAGAAATAACGATCCCCCAAAATCTCCAGATTGTGGTGACAAAAAGCAACCTATAGACTCAAGAAACCCAGCAACCCCCAGCACAGAAGGCACACACAAAGCCACATCTACATGTGCCATGGTCACAGTCCTTAAACACTCAGTACTCGGAGAAAGTAAACAGGCAAGCAATAGTGGCAATCGCTAGGCCACGGGAGACAGCACCGCCAACTTAGAATCCCTTATGTAGCAAGAATAGCCTTCCAGAATAAACACAAAAGCATTTTCAGTTAAAGAATGAATTGGCAGTGAGACTCTGTAAAAAGAAAAAGAATGAGTTGGAGAGCTGAGGATGTGGCTCAGTGGTAGAGCTCTTGCCTTGCATGCACAAGGCCATGTGTGGTTCTCCCCTGCCAAGACGTAGTGCAGAACACCTTGGGGCTAGAGGCTGTGACCTAACATCCCCTCAGATGTAACTTCCACCTCAGGAATGAGGGGCTCCTAAGTGATAGGTGCAAGGGGCCAGGTGTGGTGGCACAAATCTGTGATTCCTGCACTCTGGAGGGTGAGGAAGAGGCAAGTTCAAGGCCAGCCTAGGCTATCATGAATTCAGCGACTATTCAAAAACCAAAACCAAATCCTAAAACTTAACAAAACAGGTTCCTTTTATTATAACAAATTAAATTAAATGTCAGTAAGCAGGTGGGGTGGTGTACCCCTGTACTCCCAGCACTCAGGAGGCTGAGGCTGGAGGATCACTGTGAGTTTAAGACCAGCCTGGACTACAAAGTGAGCTCAAGGCCAACCAGAGCTGCACAGCAAGACCCTGTCTCAAAAAAGAAAACAAGCATTATGAAGCAAAGCATACTATTTCTGGAGAAAAGGGGTCAACTCTGGTGAGATTTGGGGATTTCCAGTAAAGGCTTTCTGGAGAGGCACCAATCTACCATGTGGGGCAGCCGGAATGAAAACCTTGCTTTTACTGGCTAGAAAAGCCAGTCACGGGCTTGAGGACAGCACAGCTACTGCAAAGAGAAGTAGGAAATCCTAGGAAGAGTAAAGACAGAGGGAGACACAGTGTTGTAAAACTGGTCTCTGATGATCCCTGAGGGGGCCTGCCCATTACCTCAGGTGTTTAAGTGCCTGCTAAAACAAAGTAGTCAGGGGGCTGGAGAGATGGCTCAGTGGTCTAGAGCACCTACTTAGAACAAGCTTAGCAAAGCATCAGGGACCGCGGTTCGATCCCCCAGCACCACATGCCAGCCAGCCCCGCCCCCTGGTGGGCTGAGCTGGCCACACACACACACACACACACACACACACACACACCACTCTCTCTCTCTAATAAATAAATAAATAAAATTTAAAAAAAAAAAAAATAAAAATAAAACAAAGCAGTCAGGCTCAAGATGCGTACCCTCACCCTCAAGCCAAACCAGACCTGCCCTGAAAGCAACCTGAGCAGCCCCCTCCACCCCCCAAAAAAAAATCCCCTGAATGATGCCCACACAGGGCCAGCTTCCTGCTTCAGTCTCCTGAGTGCTCAGATCCCAGCATGGACCTCTGTAACCAGCACACTGACTGCTTTTTTTGGAAACAGGGTCTCCCTGTGCAGCTCAGGCTGGCCTCCAGCCCACTTTGATCCTCCTGCCTTTCGCCTTCCAAGTGCTGGGATTACAGGTGTGCACCACTGTGCCGCAAACTTCTTTAAACATCAGTTTTATTCATCCCGTTAACAGAATAAAAAAACCAGCTGAGCTCTATGGTGACCTTGACAACTCATCTAGTAATCAAAGCCCTTAGTAACAGAAAGACCCTCATTATCTGGTAATGAGCCTGTGGGACAAACCCCACAGCTGAGCCAGGGATGTAGCTCAGTGGTACACTGCCTGCCTGGCAAGCTCAAGGTCCTGAGTTCAATTCTTGCTGCACGCGCGCGCACACACACAGAAGAGGAAGAAGGAGAAGAATTTGACCTAGAGTTGGAGAGCAGGGGAAGGGAAGGGAAGAGGTAAAAAGAATGACATGTGTTTTGTTCATGGGCCAACTCTCCACAAAGAATGTGGTCTTTATGTGCTGCCAGCATGCAGTAATAAAAAGTTTTAAAAACAAAAAAAAGTCAGCTGCTGAACAACTTGTGCTGGAAACATGCATAAACACATACACAAAGTGAGGTTCAACCCTTACTTCACATTGCATGGAAAACTTAACCTCGAACACAAAAGCTAAAAAAATGACACAGAAGGCACACAAACTTTACAACCAGAAAGCAAAGGAAAATTAAGCCAAGTTCCAGTGAGGTAAGTGCTGAGGGAAGAACAGTATGGCAGTTATGTTCCAAAGATACTTAACATGAAATCCCTACTAACCTGGGAGGCTGAAGCAGCAGGGTCACAAGAGTGAGGATAGACTAGGGAAGACCCAGTTTCAAAGTTTCCAGAGGGCTGGAGACGCAGCTCGGTGGGAGATCCTGGCCTACCATGCAGGAGGCCCTGGGTTCAAGCCCCAGTATTACAAAAAAGTTTAGAAAATAGGTACTTAAATTCTTTTTTTTTTTTTCCTTTGTGGAACAGGGGACTGAAGTCAGGCCCTTGCGCTTGCCAGGCAAGTGCTTATTCTACTGAGCTATCTCCCCGGCCCCTTCCTATTAAATTCTGCAGGACTGTACTCCAAAAGCCAGGCTTGCTGGGGCATGCCTATGGTCCCAGTTCTTAGGGGATGAAAGCAGGAGGGGTGCAGATTGGAGCCCCACTCAGGGAACTTACTGAGACCCGGTCTCAATAAATGAACAAGGAAACAAATAAATGGGCTGGGGATGCAGCTCAGTGCAAAGGGCCTGGGCTCAAAAATAAAAGTATACCTGGTACTAGATGCTAACAGCTGTGAAGCATTTTCATTGTGCTAGCCAGTCTTCTATTTCACTCATTCTTACAGGTACACAGGACAGGAGGTAGAAACCCTAACTTACACATGAGATTTATTTCCCTGAAGTCACAGAGTTTGTAAGTGGTGGGGCCAGGATTTAAAAAATTGGGTTCTAAGTCAAGCCAGTGTTCATTCTTGGTACTCTACTGCCTATAAAGAGAGACAGGTCTATCTTTTCTTTCCTGTCTTTTCTGCAGTGCTAGGATTAGAACCCAGGGCCTTGCACGCGCTAGGCAGGTTAAACTGAACGGACCTTAGTGATCACAGATGACCCTATTCACTCGCCTGCAGAGCTAGTTCCCTGTACTGTACCGCACACCTTCCCCTCTCAGTCAGAGCAGGCCTGTCATTCTCCACCCCATCATCCCGCACAGCTCAGGGTGGCCAGCAGGACCTGGACAAAGGCACCTGAGAGAGGCTTCCGGTGGGAACTTCCTTCTCAATGAAGACCAGAACCTGCCCCTTCCTGAATTCAGACACAAGAGCCACAAGGGAAGGAAGGAGGTTATGTCCCTGATGGCTTTTGGTGAACCAAAAGCTAGTATGAGAATGACAAACCCCTGAGTGTTACATACTTTTATTTGAGTATTCTGTCACTTGAGCTAAAACCATCCAAACTGAGCCCGAATGCACGAAGAATACGGTGTTTAGGAAAAGACCCAAAATAATGCAGGCCACTCCAAGACAAGAAAATACTCACCATGCTTTTTCAATTTTGTCCCAACTTCAGGCAGACTACAGTAAACAACATCTCCCAAAGCTTCCTGAAAACCAAATATACAGAGGTCTAAGAAGCCAAATTAATTCCTCCAGGAAACAGGAACAAGATAAAACCCCAAATGCCCTGTAATCCAGACTACATTTTTTTTTTTAAGACCGGGTCTCACTACACAGTTCAGGCTGGCCTTGAGCTCACTTTTGTAGACCATGCTGGTCTCAAACTTGAAAGGATCTTCCTGCCTCAGCCTTCTGAGTGATGGGATTACAGGTGTGCACACCACACCTGGCTTCAGACTACATATCTTATACTTGCGGGGCTGCGTTGTGTTCTGGCCCCGAGGCTGTAGTGACCCACACCCAGCGAGACTGCAGCCCTCTGAGCAGCAGTGACAACCGCGCTTTCTGCCTCTGCAGCTTCTGTGTGCCAGGACCCCCCTGCACTCCCTGGTGTCCCCCCGTGTATAAGCCATACGGCAACAAGGGATCTTTACATCTTTACCACTCCGTGACCTGAGTCACATACTATGTGTGTCCTTCCTATGTAGTGATTCCTCTTGCAGATAAATTCCTGGAGGCAAGGACATCATCTTACACAATACTAGACCAAACGCCCTGCACAGGGCCTCACAGTGAGTGCTGTGCTAAGAAGACGTCACTGTCACTGGCCCTCTGCACCCTAGAATTCGACACATCTCAGAACTCTGTTCTCCCTCACCCTCCATATACATCCTGATTGGACAGCGTGCCCCTGCTACTCTGTGGCCTCTTACTTTCTTTATTGAGATTTCAACAGAATCTCAATGTAAAATCTGTGAGGACAAGAATAATAGAGAAAAGACTAAGTGAAAGGCTTCCCTTTATTCTGTGCCTGCTTGAGGTTCCCCTCTTCTTCACTGGTGTCCCTTGGACAGCTCCGCACCCATAAAATGCTGGCCTTTTTGCAAGTGCTTCTTACTTTAAATGCTTGACTTAAAGCAGTGTTTAAATAAAACATGTTTCCTACATTAAGTGTTAATCCGGTATCTCTTGTAACCGCACACACTGCACTAACTAATGTATAATTCGTTGTTTCACGTCTGACGGACTTAGGGACCTTTAAAAGGACCCACAGTCTGTACCGGATGAACAACTCCCGAAGTGTCACACCATCCAGATCGGATGAGAACACAGATACTTCAAGACAGCCCAATACCTGTGCAAAGTCGCTGATTCCCACTGTTCCAGTACCATTTTCTGTTGTTATCCACTCATGTTTCTCTGTGAATTTACGCACTAAAACAGAGGACCAATATTTCAGAAAAGCATCATTTCTTTTAAAGCCCTTCCCATGTCTTTGCTACCAAAAGGGAAGATTTTCTCAGGATTGGGTTTATTGCTGCCACTGTCAAACAGTAGCCTCCCAAGGAAAGAACAAAGGCCACCCACAAAGATAGCACATCTCGGAGCCGGCAACGAAGTGCTGAGCCGGCCACCAAAACCAGGCGTGGGGACGCACGCTTGTAATCCCAGCACTGGGGAGGTAGACAACAGGAGGATCACTACGAGTCCAAGCTGCACTGTGAGACCATGTACCAAATACATAATACAAAAAAAAATTCAAAAAGCACATCTCTACTTGCATGGTGGTGCATGCCTATAATCCCAGCCTTTGGCAAGCTAAGGCAGGAGGGTAAACCAAACATAATAAACAACTTAGAGTATCCTACATTTGGTACAGGGCCTTGCTACACAGTTCGAACTCTAGTGATCCTCCTGTCTCAGCCTCCCCAGCGCTGGGATTCCAGGCCTGTGCCACCACGCCTGGTTTGGGGCCAGCACTGCACACCTGGGGTTCCAAGGCCGGCACAACATGCGGTACTGGGGATCGAACTCTGGTCCTTGCGTTTGCCAGGCAGGTGCTTAGATGCCAAGCTATCTCCCCAGCCCCCTAAATCAAAATGTAAAAGAAAAAAAAAGGGGGCTACAGATATAGCTCCGTGTAAAGGCCACAGTACCACTAGTAACAAAAAAGACCAAAGGCTGGGAAGTACAGGGGACTCTCAGCAAAATAAATGGCATACAGTTACTCAGCCACGACACTCAGTTCTCCCTCTTCCGGCTAACACTTTAGAACTCGGTGATAAACTACCAATTTTAAGCAGTTAAGATCCCTTTCGAAAGTAAGAGCTGGACAACTATAAATATAGGATCCTGCTGAGACAACTGTCCTGGCCAGCTTGCCTAATGATAAAGGTGAGCTCTGGGGCGAGGCTGCTGCGACATGCCCCACAGTAACCCGAGCATTCAGGTCAGCACCCCCCCTTGACCTCAAAGTCCTGAAACATCATCCTGACTAGGTACGCAGCGCAGCTCGCAGCTCAGGCAAAAGACAGTTTTAGCACAATTCTCCTTTAACCCTTGGCCCATCAAGTAGAAAAAAAGCTGGACAGATTAGGTAAATAATTACTTTCTTACTGGGCCCTGAAAAACATGATTTTCAGCCTCATAAAATCAGGAGTTATAAGTCTTGAAATTTTTGCCTTTTCTTCCTTTTATGGTCACCACATATAACACTTCATATTCCTGTTGGTCAGTTTTTGTTACTATTTATTTGCTGCTACACACAAATAATACTTTGTCTCATCCCCACCCAACTCTGAGGTATTATCACCTCTATGGCCTCTACTTCTCCACTGAGGGAAACTGAGGTTCAGTGGTAAGCGAGCTGCCTAAGATGAATGGCTCCCAGGACAACGAGCCAGCGTTGGAAGGAGGGTCTGGCTGCTTTTCAAAAACCTGGGTGCCCTATACCCAAAAATACGTACAGCTATGTGTCAAAAATTGTGTGACCATTGACATTTCGTCAATATTTAACTAGATAACTACGAAATGCAAACAAAGGGGGGAAAGACAAAAAGAAAGCCACAAAAAACAAAAAACCCACCACCCTCTACATAAATTTGAAATTGTTGTCTCAGAAACGCTTTCTTGGGGGCCTGCCCATTAGCTCAGTTGCTTAAGTGCCTGCTTAAACAAAGCAGTCAGGCTCTTGATGCTCTGGTTCGAACCCAGTTTCTCACAGGAAACCAGAAATACCCTCAAGGACTCTTCAGGCCACCAAAAAAAAAAAAAAAAAAAAAAAAAAAAAAAAAAAGAAATGCTTTCTTCTCATTCAAATTGGTCATGCAAAGCCAGGGAGATAATTCAGGGACATAAACACATGCCTGGCAAGCACAAGGTCCTGAGTTCTATCTCTGGTATGCCCACCCACACACCCGCAAAAAAGGTAATACATAAGTGTCAAAAACAGCTAAGAGAGTATTAGTAAGTGAGAAGCAATATGTTGCTATACTTCAATCTTTGGGATAAATAAAAATGATCAACAATTCCCAAAACGTTTCTATAACCAGTAAACTTAAGGAGACAATAGTACTACAGACCTGGGCACCCTACATCAGCAGACTGAGTTCTTACAAAAAGTAGTGTCTTAAGTATTTATGCATAAAAAAAAAAATGTTTCTCTACGGAGATCATTGTGCTAGGAAAGGAACGCCAATGGCTCACGCGCTCAAGGCAGGTCTCCCAGTTATTTCCCGCCGCTTTAAATTAAGTCTCTGAAGGGGCCGGGGAGATAGCTCAGTTGAATAATCACTTGTCTGGCAAGCTCAAGGGCCTGAGTTCAATCCAAAAAAATAAAAAATAAATAAATAAATTAAGTCTCTGAGGGCCTGGGATGTAGCTCGAGGCACAGCGCCTGCCTGGCAAGCGTATGGTCCTAAAAAAAAAAAAAAAGTAGGCCTCTTAGCCGGCTGTGGTGGCACACGTCAGTAATCCGAGGACTCAGGAGCCTGAGGCAGGACGGTGGCCCCGAGTTCAATACTAGCTACAAGAGAGTTCAAGGCCAGCCTGAACTAATAGGGAAACCCTATCTCAAAAAGGAAAGGAAAAAAAAGGGGGCCTCTTTACAGCCCCAGGACATATCTGCGACAACATACTCCAGCTGAACTTCCGTGAAGAATCCAAGAGACTCGTCTCACCGGTTTTGGAAAAGACAGTCTACGACCTCCGGCCCCTTTCAGCGAATGAATGTCGTCGCAGCGCTCTCACGCCAGCGATTCTGCTCAATTCAACTTGGCAATTCTCAGCGAGGGCACTTAGGAAACTAAGACCTCCCAGGGCAGGATCTCGCAGCACACACGGAGACAAGCTAAGGTCACAAAGACCCTCGGCGAGCCCCCTGGCTTCCCGGCTGCAGCGGCCAGCTCACCTGGGGACCCGGGCCGACAGCACCGCAGGCCTCTCCGCCCCCCTCCTGTCTGCCGCGGTACGAAGACCGCTCGCGTCTTCCCGCGCCATTTAGGAGGGACAGACGGCCGGGGCAAGGGTTCCCGGAGTGAGCAGGGGCCGCTGGGGACGAGGTCCCAGGGCCACGTGCCGCGCACTTACCCGCCAGCACAGTCGCTCCGGTGCGCAGGGTCCGCACTGCGCCGGCCCGCAGCCGCCAGGGCCGAATCAGGCAGGGTACCGAGACTGTGCGCAGGCTGCAGGCCGCGGCGCACACGCTCCGGGCCACTCGCAGCGCCATGTTCGCAGGGCCTCAGAGGGTCGCCGCGCAGCTCCTGGGCCACCCCGCCGGCTGGGGCCGGAGGGAGGGCGCGCCCGGGAAGGAGGAGCTGGCTGGGACGTGGGGGCGGAGCCCTGGAGGAGCGAAACCTGATTGGGCAATGCACGGGGGTAGGCGCACTCCCGGGCCGAGAGCGGCCGCGGATAGGGCGATGCGCGGAGGGGGGCGTGGACTTGTAAAAGCCTGAGGCCCGGATGGGGCGGGCAAATGAGAGGTGGGGACTGGACGTCACCCGGGCGGGGGGCGGGACCTCCGCCAGGCCTCAGCGTAGCCTAGGGAAAGCGCTAAGTCAGCGGCTCCCAGGACGCCGGCGGGCAGCGCTGTGAGGCCCAGGCGGCAGTGAGAAATCCTCAGGCGGGGACCGCCCTGTAGGCCCCGCCCATTCTCGCTCCAGTTGAGCCCTGAAGTCCTGTAAGGGGATGTGGTCTTGCCTTTTGCCCAGAACTAAGGTCACCCATGGATTCCTTCTACCCTAAGGTGATTGGTGGTCCTTGGCCGAAGTCGCGCTGACACTGTGCATTCCTCAAATTTCTGAAATACTGAAAATGGTCCAGGAACGCATTGTGTTGCCCCACAGATCTCAAGAGGCCCAGAGACCCCAAACAGGACAGGTGGCACCAAGAATCGAGCAGAGTGCCGGCCAGGGATTGCCCTAGGATCAGGATCAGGAGCTTCACGGTGGCTACTGCAGGGACGTCCACGAGGCAGAAGGTGCAGAGGTAGTGTGGACAATTTCTTGCTTAGTCGCCTGCTGGTGACCAAGACCTTTCGAGCAATCCAGAAAGGAATGAAATTCTGGGAAAGACCTCGCCTTCTGCACGAATCTGTGCCACAGAGAGTCGGTAGAGTGAAAACCAACCTCAGCCCCTTGGCCTGTGAGCTCCGGACATCGGCACCCGTGTACAGAGGCCTGCAGGGCGGTCAGTGAGTTAGCACCATGGCTGGAGTCCTTGCTGTGACCTTGCCTCTGTGCAAACATTGTCCTTCTAATCCTCTCGCCGCCCCTTTCTGGCAGCTGCTACTCGGGATTCCATGACTGGATTGCCCAGGATTGCAGTGGGGAGGCATTTTCAGGCATAAGTGGCTTGTAGGTGGCAGGAGGACTCGCTGTCCTGCCTGTCCGGGCTTGGGATGCTGACAGGGCCATACTACAGAGCTTGGTTGCGTCAGTGTTCTGCTTGTGTTACTACTGCTTTGTCATAAGCCAGTGCCGTGCAGTGCACCCGGTGCCCTGAATACCTCCCCCTGGTTTCACTAGGTAATTTGGAGGGAAGAATAAAATCACACATCAGTGTGTGTATGCTATCACAGGCTGCTCCACAGAACAGTAAGTATAACGGGTTCTTTTGTTTTTGTTTTTGGGGGGTTTTTTGGGTTGTTTTTTTTTTTTCCAGAGAGGGTTTTTGTTTTTTGAGACAGGGTCTTATGTAGCTCAAATTGGCCTTGAACTCACTATGTAGCCTAGGCTGCCCTCAAACTCTAGCAATTCTGCCTCAACCTCCTGAGTGCTGGGATTAAAGGTGTGTGACACCAGCCTGGCAATTTTTTTTTTTTTTTTTTAATTTTATGTACTTGGTACAGGGTCTCACTATGCAGCTCAGACTCTTTGTGATCCTCCTGTTTCAGGCTCCCCAGCAGTGGGATTAGAGGCATGCACCAACACGCCTGGTCTTGGTGGCCAGCTCGGCGTGCCTGGAGCCAGGCTGACACCACATGTGGTGCTGGGGGGTCAAACCCAGGTCCTTGCACCTGCTTAGGCAGGCGCTTAGACTGCTGAGCTCTCTCCTTGGCCCTTGTTTGTTTAGAGATCGGTTCTTACTATATAATTGAAGCTGACCTTGAACTCACTATGTGACTTTTTTTGGTAATAAACATTGAGTATAGTAGAGCCTTTCTTTTTCTTTGTCAGCCTGGCAATCTTTGTAACATCCATCCGTGGTTTAATAGTTTAAAGGTCATGCCTCTGTACACTTGGTACAGGCACAGGGGAATTGCAGAGGGTCATTTCCTTTGGCATGTCTAGCAGAGCAGGGCACACTCATCTCTTCGAGCTGATAGACATCTTTCCCTCTCACTGTAACAGAAGAATACTACGCTGCATAAAGAAAGACAAATGAGTTATTTGTATAAGGGATGCACCCCGAGACTGTAATGTTAAGTGAAATAACCAGACCCACAAGCTTAAGTATCACATGGTTTCTCTTCTGTGAGAAACTCAAAGTTCAAATAAAGAGCATAATAAAAGATAGCTAATAATAAGTGGAAGGAGGGGGTAAGGAGACAAGAAAAAGGAATGAAGAGGGCTGGTGAGATGGCTCAGTGGTCTAAAGCACCTACTTGGAACAAGCTTGGCAAAGCACAGGGACCACGGTTCGATCCCAGCACCACATGCCAGCCAGCCCTGCCCCCTGGTGGGCTGAGCTGGCCACACACACACACACACACACACACACACACACGCGCACACACACAAATTTAAAAAAAAGGAATGAAGGTGTACATAGCCTGGCGTGGTGGCACAGGCGGTAATCCCAGCATTTGGGAGGCTGAGGCGGGAGGATCACTGTGAGTTCAAGGTCAGCCTGAGCTACAAAGTGAGTTGAAGGCCAGCCTGAGCTGCGTAATGAAACCTTGTCTCAAACAAAAAAAAAGATGGAAGTGGAGAGTGAAAAGAAAGGGAAGGGAGACATGAATAACTAACAACTTCTCCAGATACTAGAACTTGCCCTATTTGAAACAGATGTGCGTGCTTGAGTGCGTGCGTGCGTGCGTGTGTGTGTGTGTGTGTGTGTGTTTCTGTGCCAGCCTGTGCGGCAGTGTGTGGACATGGCTGTGGGTTGCTCGGTGGGCATCTCTGTACACATAGCCCGTGTTCAGACCTGCAGCAATAAAGAACGGATAGTGGGGCCTCGGAGGAGAGGTGTGCCAAGGTTTTGTTTCTACCGCAGGTCACGTGGCTCTCTAGCGAATCCTGGGCCTGAGCGTCTATGGATTGCTGTTGTTTGACACAGGGTCTCACTCTATCCTAGGCTGGCCTTTATGTCGCCAAATAGCCCCAAGTGGGCTCAATCTTTTCTTTTCTTTTCTTTTCTTTTCTTTTCTTTTCTTTTCTTTCTCTCTTTCTTTCTTTCTTTCTTTCTTTCGACAGGTACTCACTTTGTTGCTTAGGCTTCCTTGCAATTTGTAATCCTCCTGCCTCAGCCTCTGGAGTAGCTGAGATTACAGGTGTGCGCCACGATACCTAGCATAAACGTGCATTTTTGTATGTCTTTTTCTTAACAAGGAGGCCTCTCCCAGAATGTCTCAGAAGCCTTCATTTGGTTTTCCTGTCACTTACTATGACCATATCTGGTTTGTTGGTTTGTTTTTTTTGTTTTTTGTTTTTTTTTGTAATGGGAATCGAACTCAGGATCTTGAGCTTGTGCTGCTGGGCTACATCCCTGGCGCAGTCACTCACCATTAGGAAACTGGCTTACAGTTTTAGAGACCAATCAGGATTTAGCAAGAGGTGGCTGCAGGAGCCTTTCGGGGTGAGGTGGGTGGCTGCCTGAACCAAGGCTGGCTGCTGTGAGCAGAGAGGAAGCCCACAGTGGGTGTGTGAGGTAGAGGAGCACAGGGCTGAGCTGGCGGGGTGCTGGAAGCTCAGTCCCTGAGGGAATGGGGAAGAGATGTACTCAACCACACCCACGGCCAGAAGGAAGCCCTCAGCCCAGGCTTGGTGGTGCCTGCCTGCAATGCCAGCACTTGGGAGGCTGGAGCAGGATGATCTTGGCAAGTTTGAGGCCATCCTGGGCTACAAAGTGAGCTTAAAGCCCGCCTGAACTGGGTAGCGAGGCTGTGTCTCTGTCTCAAAAAGGAAAAAAAAAAGAAAGCCCTTGACTCCCAACTTCTGTTCTCAGAACTTACAGCGTGGCTGTTTTGTCTGACCCTATATTAGTGGTACAGGGGAAATAATGTAACTCTACTTGTCCTATTGTCAGGTACACTGAATTAATTTCCCCCAAATTGAAGAGTAAATTTTAATGAACAAGGGAGGTAAAGAGTCGGACAAATTTATTAGAGCGACAGCTCCTGAGAGACAGGAGGGGAACTGAAAGTGAGTTGCTTCAGACTGCGCTTTTCACAGAGTTTTGTAGAGCTCGAACAGGAGCTGGGTACAGTGTGGGTTAAAATTACAGCCAACCAAGAGCAGGGGTGGGGGTTCAATGCCCAGCACCACATGCTGCAACGGCCCTGCCCCGGGGCACACTGAGCCAGCCACCGAGACTTAGGTGTGGTGGCGCACACCTGCAGTCCCAGCGCTGGGGAGGCTGCAAACGGGAGGGTCACTACCAGTCTGAGCTGCATAGTGAGACCCTGTACCAAATACATAAAATAAATAAATAACACTGCAGCCAACCAATAGGATTATAAGAATAGCCACTTACGTAACATTGATCCAGTGAGGAAGCAGGTCTCTTAGCAAGTGTATTGTTATGGGTCACTCAGAATAGGAACCAAATCAGCCAGATTGGAATTTGGAAAGGCGTTTATTACTGAGCTCAGGGCCCCCAGTCTGCTCTCACGCAGGACCGAGAGGCAGCTAGCCCAGGAAACAGCGGGCTTTTAGAACATGAAACCACATTCTGTTTGGTAAACAAATTCATTGACACAAAACAATGCTTTCAGGGTCATTGTGCCCACTACCCAAACTAAATTTCCTGGGGCTTTGTTTTAGTTTTTGGTTATCTTGCACCTGAGTAAGTACCTGCAGGCAACCTTGCATAGCCCAAGGTTACAAGAAGTTAAATCCCATTTAGTTTCCTTTTGAAGTTATCTCTGTAATCTAACTTGGTTTACAGGGATTGGTTAGGTAGGAATTTTATCTAGCAAACAGCAAGCAACAGCCACTATTTACCAAACAACTTAGAACAGTGGTGAGTATACATTTATAACAGAAAGCACAAGATTTACATTTATAATCTAAAACGTGAGTTGACCCATTACAGTATATGGAAAGAAATGGGCCTTTTTAGGAAGGGATGTCTATCTAGACTTTGTTGGAACAGGTGATAGCGTTCTAGTGTAATTTTCTGTACCTCTTTTTTTTTTTTTTTTTTTTTTATTCCTTTGTAGATAGGGTCTCACTGTGCAGTTCAGGCTGGACTGGAGCTCCCTGTGTAGCTCAGGTTGGCCTTGAACTGCAGTGATCCTCCTGCCCTAGCCTCAGAGATACACCCCCACGCTCTGTAGTAATCTTCAATTTTTGCTTATTCCAACATGAGGTATGTAGGCCTGGTCATTCCGTCTTTATCCTGAGGGTTGGCCATTGACAGAGGCACCTCCAGCCTCAGTTGAAAAGTGTTCATGGCTTTTGCACTGACTCCCTCGAGGGTCTGTCTATAATGTTTCTACCTAATTTAGCTGCCTCTAATGTTAGGTATAAATCCACGCAATCAACCAGACCAGGCATTCTGAGTTGAGAAGATTTATTGGGGACAGCAAGCGGGCTGGGTGTCCAGTGGACTAAGACAGCAGGGAACAAGGCAAGGCAGGGGGGTTTTAAGGAGTGGGGAGGGTGTTTGGGAGCTGGAACAGCTGAGGGAGAGCTAATCTTGGCAGGGCTCCCTGGTCTGTGGGGGACCTTTGATGTTAACAAAGGTTTCTATGGTTGCTTGCCCAGGTCAAAGTCAGGCTGATTTGGTCTGGGGTTTGGGGTTTGGCTCTGCTTAGGGCCAAGGGGGAGAGAGTTTGGGGCCTGTTGCCTAGGAAACTTTGAATCCTGACCTATCATATCATAGGAGCTTAGTTTAGCTATATAAGTCTGAAGTTAGAAAAAACTAAAATAGGATCAAGTGGAAGAGTTTAGCAAGTAGCCATGAAGTTTAGAAATGCAAAAAAAACAAAAAACAAAAACAACACCCCCCGGTGTGGTGGCACTTGCATAGAACTCCAGCACTTGGGGAGTAGGAGGCAATAGGATGTATGAGTTTGGGGCCAGCATGGGCTGTATGGTAAGACCCTGTCTCTAAATAAATAAGTGGATAAAAGAAAGAAAGGAAAAAGAATATAGCCCACACATGTTAAAAGTTTAGAACTAATTCAAGCAGCTAAACCAAGCTTGGAGCTGCAAAGGGAAACAAGGGGGAAAAAAAGATAAAATTTTGAGATAAGAATGAAAAGACACGGACTGTCTCCCTCAGGGAGACTTATCCAGAATATGCTAAGTTAGACTTTAACAGAGGCTCCCTGTTTCCCACCTGGAGAGAACAGTTGCGAGATAATCAGTGCTCTGTTTCAACTCCGTAAATACCAGCGCCTTGCCATAGTAGAGACAGCTGAGTTAGGTGGACATAGCGTAGGCAGTCGGCCAGGGCTGGCCCCAGCAGCTCAGTGCAGAAGACAGCTGTGGCTGGAGTCCACTTGCTGAGTCACCCACATTCTTCCCCGAGGGATGAACAGCAGTGACTGATATTCTAACTACACATCCATCACCCCTGAGGCCATGGAACCTAAGGTGGGCAAACCTCCCTAGCCCACCCCTCCCTACGAGAAGTCCTTGTCCATCCCATGTGCACCTGGTGACTTGCTCCCCCATTTGACCCCCATTTCACCGGTATACCCACACCCACCCTGTGATTTTCCATTGGATATATATGCGGATTGAACTCGGGACCTTGCTGTTGCCAGGCAGATGCTTATGAGCTATCACTGAACTATCTCCTGGCCCTCCATTGGATCTATACTAACCAAAGGATTTATTATAGTTCTGTTCCACTTAACCCACCTCACCTGGTGGCTTTGCTTAATACACACCATTGAAAAGCAGGTGTGATGAACAACCCACTTTCTGGGCCCCTTTTCTGTCCTCTTAGAAGCTTTCTTTCTCTCAATAAATTCTTCCTGGGGCAGGCCAGATAGCTCAGCGGATTAAAGCACCTGCTTAGGCAGAGGCAGGGACCCAGGTTCCCTCCCTGGCGTGCTGTGCTGGCCCTGCCTGCCCCTGGGGCACAGTGAATCAGGGATTGAGACTGGGCGTGGTGGTGCATACCTGTAATCCCAGCACTTGGGAGACTGAAGACAGGAGGATCACTGGGAGTCCAAGCTGTGTAATGAGACCCTGTACTAAATACATATAAATAAATAAATTCTTCCTCCTCTTAATTCCTGTCTTAATTCCTGTTCTTAGAATTTATTCTTTGATTTTAGAGAACGTTTAGACATCCAGCGGGTCTGCAGACATAGTTCCCTTGTGTCACTCATGCTTTGCTTATGCATATAAGATCAGGGTAGAGAGCCTTAGTGGAAATTCTTTTTTTCCCTTTTTGGTGGGTATCCACTAAAAGCCTCTCTCTCTCTTTCTCTCTCTCTCTCTCTCTCTCTCTCTCTCTCTCTCCCTCTCCTTTGAGGGTCTCACTGTATAGTTCAAGCTGCCCCTGAATTCACTGTGTCACCCAAGCTGGCCTCGAATTAATAGCAATCCTCCCTCCTCAGCCTCCCAGTGCTGGGATTGCAGGCATGTGCCACCACCCTGGTGACCTCATCATTATTATCCTTATTTCTTTTTCTTTGTGTTTTTTTTTGTTTGTTTGTTTGTTTGTTTTTTGAGACAGGGTATCAATGTACAGCAGAAGCCAGCTTCAGACTCTTTTCAAACCCTAACCCTCCTGCATCAGCCTCCTGAGTGCTGGGATTATAGGCTATTGTAGGCAGATGAACTGATGGAAATGTAGGCAGTCAGACAGGGCTAGGCCCTGGAAGGAGACAGTATGGAAGACAAGATGCTTTGTAACTGTAGGAGAGCCAGGTACTGTGGGCCAGACCTCAAGGCAAGAGTAAACAAGTGCTTAGCTCCCTAAGATAAGCATCTGAGACTGATAACCACCTTGAAGAAGCCTTGAAGCTCTAACGCAGACCCTGTAGGACAGGCCCCTGTAGGACAGGCCCTTGTCGCATATGCATGCCTGCTTGCTGCGTGACTGGCTTCCGCACTTGGTCTTTTGGATTTAATCAATTTTACCTGAGCAATTATGCTTTCAATCTTATTGGTTGACTGTATATATTTATTCCGTCTCATGTGTGAGTTTCCATGTTTTCTACCTTAGACCCGCCTCACGTCACGATTTGGCTCTATAAAAATCCCTAGAAAGGACAGATTCAGGCTGGGGAGATGGCTCAGTAGAATAAGCACTTCCCTGGCAAGCGCAAGGGTCTGAGTTCAATCCCCGATTCCGCAAAAAAAAAAAAAAAAAAAAAAAAGAAAGAAAGGACAAATTTCTGGGCAACCCGCTCGGGTCCCCCTTCCGTCCTCTCAGACAGAAGCTTTCTTTCCCCCAGTAAATATATTCTGCTCTTAGCCTCTGTTGTTCCCAAAATTAATTCTTCAGGTTTAGAGAACACGAACTCATCCCAGGTATCTTTAGGTTGGGAGTTTCATTCCCCTGTATCACCACCACAACTGGGATCGTAGGCCACACACCACTATTGTGCGTACGTACTACCTCCACACCACCCAAGAAGGTCACCACGCTTCTAGCTTTTCTATCTCCGGCTTGCAAAACCTAAGCCCAAGGCCAGCTCTGGGCTGACGCTCTGGGGGTGATCCCCAGCGGGCTGCTAGAATAATAAAGTTGGTTGCCTTCCCACTCCTTGGTGCTGGTTTTCCATTCTGCTCAGTACCGCGTTCCAGAACAAACCCACCCTACCCAGAGAATAGGTTTGCTAGCTCCCACTGTGGAAAGAAAAACTTCCAGGATGAGTAGGAGGTCTAGGAAGAGTGTATTAGGCAAAACTTGAAGTACACACCAGAGAGCAGAGTGTGGGTGACCAGAGAAGTGACACTACAGTCTGGAGTTGGGAGTATTGCTGTTTGGGGCAGTGACAATCTGGAATTTGTCAGTCTCTGGTCTTGGTCTCGGTTTGGGGTGGGCAGGAGGGGTGCACCACAGAAAGATAGTGGTCCATTCCTGGGGAAGGCTTACTGCGCAGGCGAGAAGTGGCTATTCCCAGGAGGAGGAGGAGGACCCTGTGCAAGGAGAAGGGGAATGGTCAGGGGCAGCTGCAGGAGGAAGGGAATCAGTTCCTCCTGGGGCGGGTTGTATGCCAGGAGGATGGAAAGAAAAGAATTGTTTAGGAAGCTGGGCTTGTGTGCTGAAGCTGCAGTTTTGATTTGTAAAATTTGTGATTTTCTTGCCTCTTCTTCACCTATTTTATCAACAAATCAAAACGGAGACATGAACTTTCTGGGTTTTAGGCTGGTCTCAAACTTGTGGGCGACACTTTTGCCTCAGCCTCTCAAGGGCCAGGATCACAGGCGCATGCCCCAGGCCTGGTGGCTGACGGCCTAAGCCACCCAGTTTGCAATACTTTGTCCCAGTAGCCAAGGACTCTGAATGATACCATTTGCTTTTCTTGGAGAAGCCCTGAACTAGAATCATCCAAAAGCAACCCCTGCCCAGCCAGAGATGATGTAATGAGAGGCTTCTTTTCCATATGATTTCGTTTATTTGTAGGAGGAAACATGCGTGAACAAGCAGGCTCTGAAGCAGGGCTAATTTTAGGATGCACAAGTTCTCATTTTCCTACTTGTAGGGTTTATTTATTTATTTATTTATGGTGGAACCAGGGATTGAACTCAGGCCCTTGAGCTTGCCAGGGAAGCGCTTACTCTACTGAGCCGTCTCCCCAGCCCCACTTGTAGGGTTTAGTAATTATCTCTGGACACCAACCCTGATGCCCAGAGGGGCTCCCACCCCACTGGGAAGTGCAGGCCAGACCCGGTCCCAGTGAGCAAGCCACTTAAACCCCGGGCAAAGCTTGTGCTGGCTGAGGGCACGGAGCTGTGGACGGCACCGCAGGCTGCTCCCGGCCGCTCTGAGGCTGCTCTCTTTTGCACCGGATGCCCAGGAAACTGAGGATTTTCATCAGGAGCAAATCCACGATTTCTGCTTCCTCCGACAGCTGCAGGACAGAAAAGACCACAGTGGTGCCTGGAACTGTCTTCCAGGGCCCTTTCTTTCTGAGGAGGGCCATGGATGTGCTCCTACTTGGGTCAGGTCAGGTCAACATTTAGGTCACTCTGGGGGCTGGGATGACCTTCCAGGGTTCCTGGGGGTACAGCCTCCCTCTTTCTCTCAACCAAGCATGCCCGAGTTTGCTGGGCAACATTTACAATCTCAGCATGAGTCAGGCACACCTGGCTCAGTGTTCTGGAAGGCCGAGGCAGGAGGGTCACAAGTAGTGTGAGACCAGCTTGGGGAATTTAACAAGAGCCTGTCTCAAAGTAAGAAATCAAAAAGGATATTGGGATGTCGCCCAGTATCAAGGCTCTGTGTTCAGCCCCAATACCAAAAAAAAAAAAAAAAAGTTCTGGAATTATGAATTAGACAATAGCAATAGTTACATAACTCTGAATATAAAAAATTATATATCTCAAGATAGTGCATTTCATAATGGAAATTAGATTCTCATTTTAAAAAAATGTATCAGCATGAGTTTAGTCTTCCGAGCTTTACACCAGAAGCACTCTGCTCTGGGAAGTAGCTCCAGTTGAAGGTGTTTTAACTGCACCCCAACCTTTAGATGGGTACAGCCTGACTGCCTCGTGTCTGACCTAGCGGGGCTCCTGCTTCACTGCCAAGTGAAACCACGCGTCCTAACCAGGGGCCTAGCATAGCACTGCAGGGCGAGAGCACCGCGGCTCCATGTGGGGTCCTTTGGTCTCCCACCCCAGAGCCTCAGAGCTCCTGAGACCCCGGGATCCCTGGAGCACCATCAGTGCCTGCCCTCTGCTCTTGTGCAGTGAGCCTTCTGGGTTAACGCTAACTGGCTCGGGGCGGGCCCCTGCACAGCGCCAGGTTAGGGCCTGCACCGGGGAGACCTGGTGAAAGAGGGCTGGAAGGTTCAGCCCAATGTGCTGGGCTCTGCTGGGAGGTGGAGGTGGGGGGTGCCGGGGACAACTGGGCATTGTGTTGTGTTTGTGGGACACGACAGAACCCAGGGCCTTGTGCATTGTAGGCAAGAGCTCTATCCTGAGCTACATCTTCTGCCTTATTTATCATTTACTTTGAGCAGAGTCTCAATAAGTTGCACACACTGGCTGTGAACTCAGTTGGGGTCCTTCTGCCTCGGCCTCCCAGCACACTGAGTTTACAGTTCCGCCCCGTCACACCCCTCACCTGCGGTGACCCGGGGAAAATAACATTTTCCTGGGCCTCGGTCTCCCCTGTTGTGAAACTGAGCCTTGAGTTACTGTGGCCTGTCAAGTCCCCCAAGCCTTGTCTCACACTTCCCAGCCCATCTTTTTGACATCCAAGATCCGTGGCGAGTGAAGACCAGGCCAAAGGAACTCACCTGATCACATTTTTGCTCCTCGCTGAAAGCCACCAGGATGACGGAGACAAACAGATTCAGCACCACAAACGTCATAAAAATGACACACGATCCAATTAGAAGGGAGCCAAGCACTGGGCTGGAGTCCAGGACCTGACAGGAAGAAACCAATATCACTCCTGGGGTCCTTATAATGGGTGGAGCTGGGAGCCAGGAGGTCCCCTCTGCCTGGGGAGAAGGTGTACACCCCTGCCCACTGCTGCCTCCTCCACAAACAGCGCGTGTCCAGCTGGGGGTGGGAAGGTCCCCATCCAGGATCAGCCACAGAGCTCCCCCCAGCCACCAGCCCCTGGAGCCCTTCTGTGAGCAGGGGGCCCAGGACGGGCTGCCTAGAGATAGGGTTTCTTATTTCATTTGTCCAAAGCTGCCTTGTGTTTTCCAAGCCATGAGCCCAGAGGATGACAAGGCACTGTTTGGGCAGCAAGTAATCTTCCTAATTTTTGTTTTTGTATTTATTTGGGCTGTGTGTGTGTGTTGAGACAGGGCCTCACTGTGCAGTTCAAACTGGCCTTGAACCCACTCTGTAACCCAGACTAGTCTCAAACCCATGGTGCTCCTCCTGCCTCAGCCTAGTCTCAAACCCACAGTGCTCCTCCTGCCTCAGTCTCGCGAGTGCTGGGATTACATGCATGTGCCACCACACCCAGTGATTTTTCAGTTCCCGCAAGGACTTGGCGTCAGCTGCAGCCATTTCCCCCTTACCTCCTCATAGTTGAAGATTCCTAGCTGAAGGCTGATCATCGTTTCCACTGCATCGAAGAGGGTTTTGTAGGAACGGAGTTTCCAGCCAAATAATAAGTTTGACTGCCACAGAAAGAGTTCTCGTAAACAGGGAGAGCAAGCCTGAGGCCCCACCCAAATCCTGCTGCCTGACCTGGTGGCCCGTGCCTACCCTGCCTTGGCCTGGCCCCGAAGATGCACATATGCTCCTCCTGGAGGGCCTGTGCATGCAGACGATGTGTGTGCCTGCGTGTGGGGTGCGTGAGCTCAGTGCTGCATGCATGTGCTCCATGTGTGCCTTGTACAACTCGAGTCACCTAGGTGACCCCATCCAGGCTCCTGTGCCCTGTATCCGGCTCTGCTCCCAAAACCTGCCTTCTAGGTGCACAGCCTCGGGTGCTCCACAGCGCCCTGGCTTCTGAAGGTAGGGAAGGAAACTGGAGAGGGTGGGGTTGGGGTGGGGCCCAGCCAGAGGATGCCGGGCGCCCCTTGGGTGGGGGATGGGCGGTGCACGGGGGGGGCGGGGCGAGGCTGAAAGATCTAAGCCAAGTGGGGCCAGAGTCAGAGGGACACCCCAGACTTCCAGGGCTGGTGTATGCACTTGGGTGGAGGTATCGATGTGGAGGGGTCAAGAGAGGGTCCTTGTTTTTCTCTCCACTAGATAGTAAGGACGAGTAGAATGCCTAATGTTTCATTCTCAAAAGAGAGTGAGCATCATCACGCCATCAGTGTTCAGCACCCTAGCTGCTGCCTAGGGTGCTGGGTGCTGTTGGGGTCTGAGGACATTCCCCCTACTTCCGGTCTCTTCCCTACCTCCGGGGCGTGGCACAGGAGTGCCCCAGCTCACCACCAGCACAGTGGGAGTTGCTGCGCGTGTCTCACAAGTAGCCTTGAGTCTACTGCGCGGTAGGAGGAACAGCACCGAAAGCAGGTGTGCACAGGGCCCCTGAGCAGGCGGCTGGGCCCTCTCGGTACCACAGCAGGAGCCTCCTCCCTCCTGCTCCACCGAGCCCTCCTCCTCTTGCCATCTGAGGAGGCCAGTTCATGAGCTCCCCTAACAAGGGCCTCAGACCCGGCAGATCTCCACTTTCCGAAGCTCCCAGAGCCTCCCCAGGCCTGACTGTCCACTGCACACCACCAAGTATCCTTGGCTTCCACGGAGAGCAGCCCTGGAATTCCCGCAGGGGCCACTTACTGCAATGGAATAAGCCAGGAGCAAGATAAGGATGACGGCCAGGAAGCCTGAAATGTCGCCCCAGGCGCGGCGCAGGGCTGAGGTGATCATGTTCATTTTGGGGTTCAACCTGAGCAGATGCCACAGCTTCACTGTGGAGAGGAGGACCAGGAAGGCAATGACGTAGCCAAGGGCAGCGTCGGCGGCTGCTGTCTCACTGAAACTGATCCCGCTGTGGGACAAAGGGAAGGGGGGGTTAGAGACCAGGAGCCGTGCAGGCTCTCTGGATGCAGGGTTGGATATCTCACCATCTTGGGGTACAGGATGAGACGATCATGACTCGGAGGCCGCTGACTCCAGAAAGAAGTCTGGGAAATAAAGTGGTCCTACTTGGGTGGTGGTGAGGAGGATGATTGATGGCGGTGGTGGTGGTAGGGGTGGTGATGATGGCAGTGGTGGTGGTGGTGGCGGCGATAGTGAGGGTGGTGGTGGTGGTGGTGGTGGTGGTGGCGGCAATGGTGGTAATGGTGAGGATGGTGGTGGTGGTGATAGTGGTGAGGATGGTGATGTGGTAGTGATGGTGGGAATGGTAGGGATGGTGATGATGGCAGTGGTGGTGGTGGTGGCGGCAATGGTGAGAATGGTGGTGGTGGTGGTGGTGGTGGTGGTGGTAATGGTGAGGATGGTGGTGGTGGTGAGGATGGTGATGGTGGTAGTGATGGTGGTAATGGTAGGGATGGTGATGATGGCAGTGGTGGTGGTGGTGGTGGCAATGGTGAGGATGGTGGTGGTGGTGGTGGTGGTGGTGGTGATAGTGGTGAGGATGGTGATGGTGGTAGTGATGGTGGTGGTGGTGGTGGTGGTGGCGGCGGTGATGGTGGTAATGGTGAGGATGGTGATGGTGGTGGTGGTGGTGGTGGTGGTGATAGTGGTGAGGATGGTGATGGTGGTAGTGATGGTGGTAGTGGTGGTGGTGGTGGCGGCGGTGATGGTGGTGATGGTGGTGAGGATGGTGATGGTGATTTGATGGTGGTGACAGTGATGGTGGTGGTGATGATAGTGATACTGGTGGTGGTGGTGTTGCTGCTGGTGGTAGTGACAGTGACAGGAATGAGAATACTAGCACGTGGGTTGATGGTGGTGGTGATGAGCGTGAGGGTGAGGGTGAGAGACAAGGCTGGGGGACAGTGCTGGTTGGCATGGTGATAGGGAAACTGAGGATGGTGGCATGGTGAAGATGACAGAATAGTCATGAGGACTCAGCGCTAGCTAGTGGTCCTTAATCAGTGGCTGAGGAGCTCTGGAAGAATGGCAAAGGAAAATCCTTTCAGGCTTGGCAAATGGAGGGAAAGACTTCCGTGTGCTTCCTCTCTCTGCTCCAGGGTCACCTAACCCCCTAGGCCCACACACAGGTCTGAGTGTGTGTCATGGCAGCCCTTATGTTAGAAGGGAGGATGGAAGCATTGCCCATCTGTTGTGCTGTGTGAGAAACTCACTTGTTTGGTTGTTGATTGTTGTTGTTTTTGAGACAGAGTCTGGTTCTGCAGTTCAGACTGGCCTTGAGCTCACTTTGTAGCCCAGACTGGTCTCAAACTTGCAATGATGCCCCTGCCTCAGCCTCCCAAGTGCTGGGATGACGGGTGTGTGCTGCCACACCTGGCTATGAGTTTCTGAAGTAAGCACAAAACTTTGGTTAGTTGATTAATCAAGTTCAGTTGAAGTTAAATTTGAAACTCTACTCGAGTTTGCAGTGGGTGTATCTGGTGGTGGAGTCCTTGCCTACCATGAGCAGTGTCCTTCGTTTAAAGGTTCCATTGCAAGAACCACAAGAAAGGATCGATGGAAAGAAGCAAGGAAGAAAAAAAGCAAGCAAGGAAGGAAGGAAAAAAAAAAAAGAAGAATTCAAACTATTCTCAGGTTTTTGTTAAAGCTGGTAAGATTTCTTTTGTTATTCAGTGTAAAAACGTTAGCCATAGGGCTGGGGAGATAGCTCAGTAGACTAAGCACTTGCCCGGCAAGCGCAAGGGCCTGAGTTCAATCTCCGGTTCCGCAAAAAAACAAAACAAAACAAAACAACAACAAAAAAAACCCCAAAACAAAAAACGTTAGCCATTAAAGGCAGACACCTTTAGGAAGAGCTACATTTATGGGGGAGAAATCTATTGCCTCTTTAAAAGATGGTTGATGTTGGGCTGGGGAGATAGCTCAGTGGTCTAAGCACCTGCCTGACAAACACAAGAACTCTGGTTCAATCCCTGCTACCATATGCTGTGCCAGCCACTGAGACCACGTGTGGTGGCACATGCCTGTAATCCCAGAGCTGGTGAGGCTGAAACAGGAGGATCACTAGGAGTCTGAGCTGTGTAGTAAGACCCTGTACCAGGTATGTAATTTTTAAAAAATCTTTTATTTATGTATTTGGTACAGGGTCTCACTCTGCAGCTTAGACTCAGTGATCCTCCCTCCTGTCTCAGCCTCCCTAGCACTGGGATTATAGGTATGTGCTACCACTGCCCGGTCTTGGTGGCCTGCTCGGCGCACCTGGGACATGGCCAGCCTGGCATGTGGTACCAGGTATCGAACCCCAATCCTTGTGCTTGCCCAGCAGGCACTTAGACCACTGAGCTATCTCCCCAGCCCAAATAAAAGCTTTTAAAAGATTGTTGATGCTACTCCAATATCCTTCTTCCTATTTGTTTCAGAAAAACCTCTGGAAAAACTTAGGAGGATCCAGGGGCCGGGGAGATGGCTCAGTAGAATAAGCACAAGGATCTGAGTTCAATATCCAGTTCCGCAAAAAAAGAAAAAAAAAAAAAAAACAAACTGGTTGCCCTATGCAACCTAGAATAAAACAGGCTCATTGTAATACTAAACTTAGCATGCTCAGAAACGTGTCCACCAGCCTTTGTTCCTGAACATGTCATCTGTGAAATTAAACAGAGCATGTGCAGAAATGTACCCGTGTCCGACATGCTTTCCTGCATGAATGTGGACACATTGCCTGCTAAAATGCCCGCCTTCCTTTGATACAGGGGAATGAAACTCCCAGACTGAAAGATACCTGGGACGAGTTGACGTTCTCTAAAACCGTGAGTTTTAGGAACAACAGAGGTTAAGAGCGTAACATATTTACTAGGGGAAGGAAAGCTTCTGTCCTAGAGGGGGACAGAAGGGGGACGAGAGTGGGTTGTGCCTGAAGCTGTCTCTTCCAGGGTTCTTTAGAGAACAAAACCATGTGGTGAGTAGGGTCTAAGGTGGAAAACATGGGAACTCGCTGAGGTGGACCAAAACCGTGGTCAGTCAATAAGGTTACAAGCACCATTGCTTGGGTAAAAATTGAATCCAAGACTAAATGCGAAGCAAGTCACGTAGCAAGTGGGCATGAATACAGAACAGGTCTTTTCCTGTTGAGGGATGGGTTGGTGACTCCGGCTCTTTCAAAGTGATTTTTTTGTTTGTACTGGGGGTTGAACTTGAGACCTTGTGCTTGCCAGGCAGGTGCTTATGTGGCTGAGCCATCTCCCCTGCCCATCTTTCTTTTTTTTTTTTTTTGGTGGAACCAGGAATTGAACTCGGGCCCTTGTGCTTACCAGGCAAGTGCTTATTCTACTGAGCCATCTCCCGGGCCCCTCATCTTTCGAGGTGATTGATAACTATCCAGAATATCCATCACTAATGCCCATCCCTAGGCAGGTATGTGGCTGCATTTGTTCACTCTTTTGTCTTGAGGTCTGGCGCACAGTGGGAGGGCCTGTCTCTCCCAAAGTTGCAAAGTCACCTTGTTTCCTGCTGTCTCCTTGAGGGCCTGGCCCTGTCTGCCTATAGCGCTTCTACCTAATTTAGCTGCCTGCAACACTTTGCTCGGGAGAGCATTGTTTTCCAGATAGCCCCAGTGCTGTCCTTACCCACAGCACACAATAAATCTTTTTCTGTATACTCTTATTGCTGGTGATGCATTCATCAGGATATGAACTCATTCCGTTTTGTTATGAAATGAGAACTTTATGGTGTAAACTTGGGTCATGACCCATGTAAAAAAAAAAAAATAAAAAGAACCCGTCTGTGTGGATACCAAGAATCAAACATGGCCGGGCATGGTAGCACACGCCTGTAATCCCAGCATCAGGAAGCTGAAGCAGGAGGATTGCTGTGCGTTCCAGGCCAGTCTGGACTACTTAGTGAGACCCTGTCTGAGAGAAGACAATAAAGGCAAGAAGAGATAAAGAGAACCAGACATTTTCTGACCATAAAGCACGGCTGGAGCAAAGATTCAGAGGCTGGGCCTGCGAATGCCTAATGGGTGACTAAGCACAGGATAAGCCTGGCCCCTGTTCAGCTCTGCATGTCGGTGTGTGCATCACTTAAGGAATATCCATGCTACGGGTTTCTTTCATTTTTCTTTTTTAAAACATATTTGGTACAGGGTCTCACTATATAGCTTGAACTCTCAGTGATCCTCCTGTCTCAGCCTCCCCAGTGTTGGGATTACAGGCATGCTCCACTCTGGCCGGTCTCAGTGACCAGCTCGGTGCGCCTGAGGGCAGGGTCAGCATGGCATGCGGTGCCTGGGATAGAACCCTGAACCTGCGCTTGCCTGCGCAGGTGATTAGTGTGCTAAGCTATCTCACCAGCGCTTGGTTTTGTTTTTTGCTTTTCTGAGCCATGATCTTGCCATGTAGTTCAGGCTGGCCCTGAACTCACAGTGATCCTCCTGCCTCAGAATCCTGAGTGTGAGGCCCAACCCTTATAGGTTTATTAGCCTTCAATTTACCAAGCCTATCACCTCCACTTCAAGCTTGCAAATGCCAAGATAAGAGTAAAATCATCTTCAGGATTTGCAACGATATCGCTTTGCTAGCTTTTACAACGTCCAGGGTCTGGGTTAGACCCTCTGGAGCCATGTCTAGAACTCCCAAGCTGTTGTCCTAAACCTGCAATCATCTGGACTCCAGGGAAAGCAGGGTTTCACAGGCCATATACTAAGGGATCAGTTTTCCCATGACGGGACTAAGCTGGCCCCTTGAGCAAGACGGCTCTCCAGGACCTGCAGAACTAGTCCTGAGATACTTACCGATAACAGCCCGCATGGCCAGGACCAGGACGACCTACACTGTCGGCTGCTCAAACGCCCCGCCTCTGCAGTTTCCCTCTCTATAACCCCAGAGCTTGTGCCATCACCCTGGAGACACATCTTGAACTTCTTTCTCTGTGTGTCCAGCCAGCCCACTGGCTAAAGCTCCTCTCCCGCCTCTCCCCCGGCTCAGATCCCAGACTGACCCTGGGATGCGGCCGGTGGTCTAGCCTGCTCCGTGGGTCCCCAGCGCTGGGTTTTTTCCCAGAAGCTCATAATGTGGCCCTGTGGGGGAGCAGGGACGACCCCAGCTGCACGGCCCACAGTGCCCTCCCACATCAGCCAGTCACTTCCTATAACCTTTGCTCACTGGGCAGTAATCAACAAACTACTAGGAAGGGACAGAGCGTTTTCATCACAGAGACTCACCGCTGCCATCAAAGAGGGAGGACAGCCTTGGGCAGCCTGCGAGCAAGTGGGAGGGGGCCGAGCTGCAGTGACACTTTGTTCACAAAAACACCACTGGCCACTTCTGGAGCTGGAGTCCCTTCAGGTTTTGAGATAACTGTTTTGCCTAAGTTCACAGTGAGCTTGACTCACTTTTTTCTGTATATTTGCTTTCTTTCTTTTCTTAAGACAGGTTCTCACTGTGTAGTACAGGCTGGTCTTGAACTTGTGACAATCTTCCTGCCTCAGCTTCCCCAGAGCTGGGCTGACTGAAGGGCACCACCATGCCCGGCAAGCTTATGTCATTTCTGAACTCAAAGAAGGCTAGTGATCCTGAGCCATTTCTAAAGAGGGGACACTTGGGGAGGGGAGCGGTTCTGTCACGCTTGCTGCGTGAATGAGACCGAGTTGGAGTGTAGCAGGGAGAGCTGAGTGAGTCATGGCTCCTTCGTTGTGACCCTGCACAGGGAATTGAGCCAACGACTTTCTCCTTTGTAAAATAAGAAAGGAAGGAAGGAAGGAAGGAAGGAAGGAAGGAAGGAAGGAAGGAAGGAAGAGAAGAAAAGATGATAATGTCATTTCTTGACCATGTCAGGAAGATGAAACAGATGAGAATGTGCGGTTCAAGTGTTGTCTGGGGCTAGTACACCCCGCAGCAGGGCACTTGGGCAGCACGCGCGGGGGTTTACTTCCCACTGGGTATAGTCAGTATATTACACTGAGCAGTAGCCCAACGAACATAAGACATCGCCACAAAAGGTGAGAGAAGAGCACAGTGAGCAACGTGAGCCGTGGATCCTGGAGCTACACTGTCAGATTGATTTGATTTTATTGTTTTGTTTGAGACAGGGTCTCAGTATGCAGTGCAGGCTGGCCTTGAATTCACTTATGTAGTCCAGGCTGGCCTCAAACTCAAGGTGATCTTCCTGCCTCAGCCTCCTGAGTGCTGGGATGGGAGTCATGCACCACCCTACCTGAGGTCTTCCCCCTTGTAGTGCTGAAGATTGAGCCCCGGGCCTTGCACACGCGCGGCAAGTGCTCTACCACCATGTTACATTCCCAGACCTTTGCATTTTTTATTTTGAGATAAGGCCTCACTAAGTTGCCTCGCTAACTGCCAACTTGTGGTCCTCCTGCCTCAGTCTCCCAAGGGCTGGCATTACAGGCACGCATCATCTCGCTGGCTCATGTTCCTGAGGTCACAGGAACACTGAGGACATTGTCCACTCTGTGCTAATTCACGCTGCGTAGCACCCAGTAGACACGAAAAACGGTAGCAGAGGAGGATTTACTGGGCACTAATGTTTGTGAGAGCTCAAAGGGCCCTAACAGGGTGCCACATGGCCCTGTGTTTGCAAACATCAGATTGTTTTGGTTTTTGTGGCCAGCTCAGCCACCCTGGGGGCAGGGCTAGTGCAACATGTGGTGCGGGCAGCAATCGAACTGTGGTCCCTGCGCACTTGCCTAAACTTGCCTAAGCAGATGCTTTAGACCGCTGAGCTATCTCACTGGCCTTGTTTTGTTTTTTGAGGCAGGGTCTCACTATGTGGTTCAGGCTGGCCTTGAACTCACTGCAGAGCCCAGACTGGCCCAAAACTCAGTGATCCTCCTACCTCAGCTTCCCCAGGACTGTGCTTACAGGCATGCACCACCATGTCCGGCCACAAATAGCACATATTGTTGTATTTTGTTTTAAGGTCTTCTCCAGACCAAATGCAGTGATATATGTCTATAATCCTAGCTACTTAGGAGGCCAAGAGAGGAGGATCACAAGTTCAAGACCAGCCTGGGCAATCTACCAAGATGATACTATATTTTATTTTGTAGATATAAACCATGACACTTTTTTTTTTTTTTTTTAACTGGGAATTGAATTCAGGACCTTGCGCTTGCCAGGCAGGCACTTATGCAGCTAAGCTATCTCCCAGGACATAAAACCTTATTTGCAAAGGCCAGCCAGATAGCTTAACGGATTAAAGTGCCTTCTTAGGCAGACATAGGGACCAGGGTTTGATCCCCGGCTGCCCTGCCAGCCTTTCCCCTGGGGCACGCTGAGACGGTGACTGAGACTGGGCATGGTGGTATGCACCTGTAATCCCAGCACTTGGGGAGGCTGAGAACAGGAGGATCACTGCGAGTCTGATCTGTGTAGTGAGACCCTGTACTAAATACAATAAATAAATAAATAAATAAATAAATAAATAAATAAATAAAAACTATTTGCAGGTTTTCTATTATTACATTTTCAAGGTGACTTACCTTCAACCACCGTGTTGTCTATGCAGTACACATTCTTTAGATGTTGGTTCTACCTTTTAAAAAAATTCTTCCACATCTCATTAGGTTTATATTTTCCTTTAAATAAGTGAGGGCTGGTGAGATGGCTCAGTGGTCTAAAGCACCTACTTAGAAAAAGCTAAGCTAAGCAAAGCACAGGGACAGCGGTTCAATCCCCCAGCACCACATGCCAGCCAGCCCCGCCCCCTGGTGGGCTGAGCTGGCCACACACACACAAAATAAATAAATAAATAAACAAATAAAAAAAAAAATAAGTGAACATGAGCTAGGTGTGGTGGTGCATGCTCACAACCCCAGAACTCAAGAGGCTGAGGCAGGAAGATCGCTGCAAATTCCAGGCCAGCCTGGGTTACAAAGTGAGTTAAAGCCAACATGAACTACAAGGTTCAGTGTGATCTCCAGAGGTTTCTGCTGATCTTGGGCCTCAGGCAGAACCAAGGATGGGGTTGGTGGAGTTCAGGGGGACTGGGGACAGGGCCACTTACTCTGTCCTGTGTGTCCGGTAGCGGTGCAGGTCCCGCTCCGCCAGGATAGCTCTCTTCACAAACACTGCCAGCGCACTCCAGCTGGCCAGGATGATGGCCGCTTCCAGCAGGTTCCACTTGCTGCGGAAATAGCCCCACTTCTCCTTCCACACACGCCGGCCCTGGAAAGAGCCGAGGTTCTTCTGCCCGGGCCTGTGGCCCAAAGAACCACGCCCGCCTCCCAGTGCTGGGATTGCCACCACACCCGGCTTTCTCCTGCTGCTTCAGAAGGAGGAGACCCACGAAAGGTTCTGAGAACAGTGCTGGCTACACTAGAAGCATCAGAAATACCTCCTGAAATACCACCATTTTCAAGAGACTGTGGAAGGGGCTGGTGAGATGGCTCAGCGGTCTAAAGCACCTACTCAGAACAAGCTCAACAAAGCACAGAGACCATGGTTCGATCCCCCAGCACCACTTGCCAGCCAGCCCCGCCCCCTGGTGGGCTGAGCTGGCCACACACACACACATAAATAAATAAATAAAATTTAAAAAAAAAAAAAAAGAGAGACTGTGGGAGCTGGGTGCCACATGGACGCCCCAGTTTTGGGGGGGGTCTCAGGTCAGCAGCCACAGGCCCAGCGCTCCCACCCCCGGCCCATGCCCACCTGCACCACCATGTAGTAGAGGAGGAAGGCGAAGTATAGGAGCTCGGCCGCCACCACGAAGGGGTGCCAGCCGTCGGTGAGCGGGGACAGGCGGAGGCTGTGCAAGGCCGTGTGGGTGAAGAAGGTTCCTGGGAAGCAGAGTGTGGCCGGTCACCTGGCTGCCCTTGTGCTGGGAGCCCTGGGGGTGACTTTTGAGCCGGAGCCCTGTGGCTGGTGGGTCAAGAGGGGACTAGACACAAAGCCTCAGGGCCTGAGTATGGACACCGTCAGTGGCTGCAGAAGCAGCGTGACCCTGGAAGGGACACAAGCAGAGGACAGGTGCTGCACCACATGCAATGCCCTGGAGCACCACACCCCCAAGATGGCTGTGGTCTTCGGATGCTGCCAAAGTGAGCTAAGAAAACAAAACTAAGAAGGCCTTCACCGGAAGCTGGTGCATCTCACTGGCAACATGACGACAACCCAGCCTGCTCTAGAATAACTTTTCATTCGTTTTCTTATTGTCTGGAGTTGTAATTTACTATTATTATTATTATTATTATTATTATTATTATTATTAGGTCTTTTTGAGACAGGGTCTCACTATGCAGCTCAGGTTGGCCTTGACCTTAGGCTAGGCCTCGGCTACAAAGTGAGCTCCCAACAATCCTCCTGCCTCAGCCTCCTGAGTGCTGGGATTGCACCACTGTGCCTGGCTTGGAACTGTCAGGATCTGTGGGTGATAAAGTTGAAGACAAAGCCAGCCCTAAGGTGACTGAAGGAGGTGACGGAAGCCACCTAAGCCCCTGACAGTGTCAGGGATTGTGGACTCAACAAGGCCAGGAGCCTACTCTGGACCGCTTCTGTGTAGAAACACAATTTGATCAGATGTAGTTTGGGGACAAGTTATTTAAAAACATCTTCCCTGAAGAGTCCAGAGGAAGCTGGGCTTGGTTGTGCACAGCCAGGATCCCAGCCCTGGGGAGGCCGAAGCGGGACTGCTACAAGTACAAGGTCAGCCTGGACCACCTAGTGAGTTCAAAGCCAGCTGGAATACATAGTGAGACCCTGTCTCAGAAAAGAGGAAAGAAAGAAAGAAAGAAAGAAAGAAAGAAAGAAAGAAAGAAAGAAAGAAAGAAAGCCAGCCAGCCAAAAGAGCAGCAAAAAAGAATTGAACAAAGATATAAAAACAAACTAAAAGATTTGAAAGAAGCTATTGAACTTGACAATGATTGTAGCTGAAAGCCATTCACCATTCTAAATTTATTTATTTATTATGGTGCTGGATACCAAACCTTGTACAAACTAAGGACATTTTTTAGCTTGACTTTTCAAAAAAAATTTTTTAATTATTATTATTATTTCCAGTACTGGAGATCAACCTTGGGACCTTGTGCTTGCCAGGCGGGAGTTTATGGCTGTGAGCTAGATCTCCAGCCCTCTGACTTCTTTTTTAACTGTTAATTTTTTTGTTTGCACTGGGAATCGAACTCAGGATCTTGCACTTGACAGACACGTGCTATGCCGCTAATCTATGTCTCCAGCCTTTGGATTTTTTTTTTTTTTTTTTTTTTGAGACAGGGTCTCACTGTGCAGTTGAGGCTGGCCTTCAGCTCACTTTATTTTTTTGTTTTGTTTTGTTTTTTTCCAGAACCGGGGATTGAACTCAGGCCCTTGCACTTGCCAGGCAAGCGCTTATTCTACTGAGCCATCTCCCTGGCCCCTTTTTTATTTATTTATTTATTTTTGTTTTGTTTTTTTCCATAACCGCTTCAGCTCACTTTATAACCCAGGTTGGTCTCAAACTTGCAATAATCCTCCTGCTTCAGCCTCCTGGGTGCTGGGATTACAGGTTTGTACCACCATACCCAGCCTTTGGTTTTTTAAAAATGCACAAACATGTATGCATTTTATAATTAAAATGTAGTTTAATTTTTTATATTTATTTGTTTATTTATTTATTTATTGTGGTACCGGGGATTAAACTCAGGACCTTGTGCTTGCCAGGCAAGCACTTACTGTACTAAGCTATCTCCTCAGCCCCATGATTTTTTTTTTAAATATTTTGTAAATGCTCAAGTTTGATCTGGGTGTGGTGGCACACACCTATAATCCCAGCACTTGGGAGGCTGTGGCAGGAGTTCAAGGCCACCTTGAGCTATATAGCAAGACCCTATTGCAAACATTAAAAAAAAGTTCAGAGTTTAATGAAAGGATGCTGAGTTTTAGACAGGTTGAGCCTTAGCTAAACATTTGATGGCTTTTAGTAGCTTGTGGTTGGCATCTAATTTTCGCATTTGTTCCTGTGCTCCTGGGGATGAACCCAGAATCTCTGTGATGTTAGGCCAGAGCCCTCCTGAGCTATACGCAAGCTATATTTCATTTTTTGTTTTGAGAAACGTTCGTGTTCTGTTGTCCAGGCAGGACTTCAACTTGTGATCTTCTTGCCAAGCCTCCCAGCAGCTGAATTTGCAGGGTGGGTGTGTGTGTGTGTGTGTGTGTGTGTGTGTGTGTGTGTGTGTGATGCATTTCTGCTGCAGATAAACATGCAGGCTGTGAACCACCTTGTGGGTGACTGCACTTGCTACCACGTGACCAGCCCTCTCCCAGCCCCTGGCCTGCCTGCAGTATCCGGAGCTCAGTCAGAGGAGCTTGATAAGTTGCCCACCATTCTAGGCACTTGGGGGTCCGTGGAGGGGAGGGCTGGGCAGCGCTCACAGCCTGGTTTCGGGGTTCAGGGATGCCAACTGCAGGGAGACCCAGCCCCACCCCTCATGTTCCAAACAGCTCTTTGCCCTGAATCCCCAGGCACCCCACGGCCCCCTGGGTGGCAGGGCTTTGGGCTGTGGGGCTCACCCAGGCCACTGGTCTCCAGTGTGAGTGTGACCACACAGAACAGGTTCACGTTGGCATTGTAGACGGTGAACTCCACAAACACGGCCCTGGTCAGGGTGTCCAGCCAGGTGTGGTCAAAGAGATACCGGAGAACTCTGTGGGAAGAGGGGTGCTTGGGGCACCTCTATCCTGCGGATGTTCCCTCCTGTCCCACATTCTTCGGGCAAACCCAGAGTTTTCGGTCTCCAATGCCCCTGGAATGATTCTGAATCCGCCAGCGCCTCCCACACCACGCGGAGGCACTTGGTTCATCCCTGTTTTGAAGGCTGCAGCCTGCGAGCCTACGAGGACCTCGACAAGCGGCTTCCGCTTGCAGCCTCACCTGGCTGTGCTCTGGCGCTCCGTTCCCAAGGGGACCACGTAGCCTCCTCCGGGGTACAGCGCGAGCCTGCCCCACACGGGGAACCCTCGACGCTGACTCTGGCTCTGGTAGCGCCAGGCCTGGGGAAGGCGCCCACTGCTGCCCAGGGCCGAGGCATTCCAGTCCTCCCCGTAGTTGGCGCGGTCTTCCCCGTCTGGGGAGTACGGCGGGCGGCATCCGCTCCTCGGAGCCCGCAGCTGTGGGGCCAGCGCGCAGGAGCTTTCCCGGACCCTGACCTGGCGGATGTGGGCACCGCCGACCAGCTTGGAGTTCCCATCCGTGATGAAGCCTGCAGCAGAAATCCGGGCGTTGATTCCAGGGAAGGGCTTATTCTACTGAGCCATCTCCTGGCGCTTAGGCATTGATTCTGCAAACAAAGCCACCTCGGCACTTTCCAAGGTCCTTGCATGGAAGCCGAAGTGGACGTCAGGGACACCACCGTAGAGATGGCCAGAAGGTGGCGGCAGCTCGGCGCCCAGCTGACCCTCCATCCAGTCCAAGCTGCGCCTCCCTGGACACTCCCAGCCATGGGGTCACCATGCCCAGCCAGGCCCTCGGCCGTATCTTCCACACTGCCCCTTCTCTCCGCCACCACTGCCCTGTCTTTTTTGTTCTTGCCTTTTTGAGGTAGACTTTTGCTGTGCAGCTCAGGCTGGCCTTGAGCTCACTTTGTAGCCCAGGATGGTCTTGAACTTGCAACAACCCTCCTGCCTCAGCTTCCCAAGTGCTGGGATGACAGGAGTGCACCACCACACTTGGCTCTCATTTTGTCCTTTAACTTATGTATACTTCAGAGTTCCCACAGGAGGGCAGTTGTGTCACTGGAGCTGTACCCACTCTCCTACCAACGACTCCTGCGCGTGACCACAGGTTTGTGCACCTTGGTCTTGTGGAAACTCCCTTCCTCGTCCCCCCTCAGACCTGCACAGCATCCACATGGGATGCTCGTGGTCGACAGCCTGCCTGGTCCTACGGCCAATTACTGCTGTTTGTGGCTTCGAGGACAGCCCGTGAGCACAGCCTCCGGGCTCCCGTGGCTAAGACCTGCTTGGGATCCACACCCGTTCACAGGCAGCGGTGCACACATGGGCTGTGTACCTGGGTGCAGACTGTACAGGTTGTTCACCAGGGTGTTGTTGGCCCACTCGAAAAACTCCGGGAAGCCCAGCACGTCGGAAAAGCCTCTGGTGAAGCTGCTCTCCAGGTGCCTGTGGAAGTGGTAGGCGCTCGGGTCCCTCTGGCCGTAGGCGGCCAGCAGCAGCATCCACAGGAAGCCCAGGTACGCTGCAAAGGATGCACAGCGCGCCCTTCAGGTGGGAGCCTCGCCTGCACCCAGTCCTGGACTGGAAGCGGAATGGGCCTCCTGGTAACCATGGAGACCATTCTTACAGGGCTCCAAGGCTTGCGTCTAGGTTCAAATCCCAACCCTGCCATTTCCCATCCCTAGCCTTTTGCTAGAGATTCAGTCCCTCACTGGCTTACTCCTCGCCTGTGCAATTTGGATTACAATTCTATGACACAGGGCTTTGATGAGTCTGCCCAGAATTTACATTTCCAATCCCCTGGTACTGGGGATTGGATCCGGGGTCTTTACATTGATTACATTCCCAACCTGCTCCTTTTCAAAATTTTTTATTTTGAGACATGGTTTTGTTCAATCATTACATTGCCCAGGCTGGACTCACACTGGAAGATCCTCCTGCCTTAGCCTCCCAAAGTACTGCTTCAGGCATAGACCGCTAGGCTGAGTTTATGTTAGTGTTTCTTAAGCAAAATGTTTTCCAGCAGGGCATCTGCCATGTGGCATTGATGAGGGTACAGTAATGAAGTAGAAGGACTTGTTCTGGCCCTAGGGAGCTCACTGGACTTTCTGGAGACAGGAGAGGGTGATGCAAGGGACCAGGGGACCAAGACTGAGGGCAGGAGTCTGAACATCACAACCCAGTCGGGGATGCAGATTCCCATGGAACTAGGAGCTCTGAGCCTGTGCCTGGGAATCTGGCTTTCATGATGCAGCCCCTTCTGCCTGGTGGGCCACAGATACCAGGGGGACCAGCACAGTGCAGGGGTGCACTACCTGCTCTCCCCAGGCCCCAGCAGGCCTGAGCCGGCTGGCCACAACTCTCTCTGACTTCTTTCCTTCCTGCTGTCTTTCCTTTCCTGATGTCACCTCCCAAACTATCTTTCTACACCCCAGTCTGCCCCTCTGGGCCCCAGACAAGACACCTGCTGAGGTTTGAAAGCTCTGGGCCAGATGGCCAGGTGAAATCTCACTGAAGACACAGTGATTGGGCGGAGAGTTAAAGACCAGGAGGAAGGCAGAGTGTGGCGGTGTATGCCTGTTATTCCAACACACAGGAGGCGGAGGCAGGAGGAACCCCACACGTTGGAGGACAGCCAGGGTTACAAAAGACCAGGAGGCCAAGGAAGGAGCTGAGGTAGGGGGAGCTCAGGAGAGAGTTTGGACTTTATTCTCAGGGCCTTCCAGGGGCACCAAGTGATTGCAGGTATGGAGAAGTTGCTACCGAGGGAAACTAAGGCCCAGAAGCCACAAGGGACTTTCAAAGGCTGTGCGTGTGTGCATGTCTTGAGTGTTGAGGGGTGGGCGTGGGGCAATGCCCACCCAGGATTTCCAAGATGAGGGCAAAAGCCTTCTGCTCCTTCAGCCGGGTGGCTTTCATCTTCTCGATGGTGGCGGGGAGAGGTGGCTGGTAGGCTTCCCTGCTGCTGTGTCTCCGTGCCTGGAAGACAGCACAGGGACCTGCGGAGGAAGGACACAGGGCAGCATCCACAGTGGGTGTGGGGCAGGCTCTCCCGCTCGCTGGCATCTGCAGAGGTTCCCATGACGGCATGCTGGCAGGTGTTGATCTGGCTGTCTGGGGGACCCACGCCCGCTGTCTGCACTGCCAGGACATTGGTCACTTCCCTGTTTACCCTCATCCTGAGTCCTCTCCACCCCGCTCCCTGTGTGCAGTAACAGTAGGAAGTGACAAGTTCTGCCAGCCCACAGGACCTTTGCACGCCCAGACCTGCAGCCCTTTACCCCCGCTGCTCAGGGGACAGCTTTGGCAACCCACAGGACAGAGGCCTCCAGCACCCTGCTCTTCCCCGTGCTTCTCCTCTCAGTTGGTGTGCGCTTACTTTCTTATTCATGTCATCCCCCTGTGGGACCTGTTGGGGCAGGGACATGGTGGGGACCTCTGTGGGGTGGTGAGGTTGTTCTGAGTCAGGTCACAGTAGGTCTCACAGACTCCTCTAAGTTCACTAAAATCAACGGATTGTGTGCAGGTTCTGTGTGAATTCTGTAAAGCCTGGGCTAAGGTGCCCATGCTGCATGGTATGCCATGCTGTGAGCTTCCGGCTGCTCCTGGTTTATTTTCTCTGAGACTTAAGATCGATCACGACAGGGCTGCTTCTGTCTTGTGTGCTCCTGTGATTCTGGAATGCTTGACCCGTCAGCACATCCTGCTCCCAAGTCTTGGTGGGAGGAAGGAACAGGCCGGGGACCCTAGTCCGGGGGTCCAGCCCACCTCTGCTCCCAAGACCTAGGCCATGGGCCATGCTGGGGCTACTCACTGTCATTTCAGATCTGTTGCCTTGCAAGTCTAGTTGACAGTGGCTTTTGGAAGCCTACCAACAAGTGGATTCTTTCTTGGTTATTCTGCAACCCCAGGACCTGACTCTGGGCAGAGAGCCCCCTTGGTGGGGCTACATGGAGGAGGCAGCTCTCCTGGTCACAGGGTCATGGGAGAGTGTTTCAGGGGTCAGGGAACCAGGGAGGAAGACTCTTGGGGAACCGGCAGGAGACACTCAGGTGTGGCAGGGTGAGGGCTGCCGGGGAGCCTGGCAATGCCCACCTATAGGTGTATTCTCATCCAGAACCACTGTGCAGTCCCTTTACCTGGGCCAGACAGGTGTGCGGGAAGGGGCAGCTCCATTTCGTCCTCATCCTCATCTACTCTTTTCGAGACCAGTGCAAAGAAAGCAGCGAAGCCCAGCACCTGTAGTCACCACCAGTGTGAGCCAAGCCGTCTGGACGCCAGGCCAAGTGGGGAGGGGGTGAGGCCACAGGCAGGTAGGTGGGAACTGGCCTGGCCCAGGGGCGGAGTTGCCAGGAGGTCCACGTCCTTGGACTCCCAGAGCCTGCCTGCTCCCTAGCCTCTCTGCCCGAAGGTCCCTGTGTCTTCCTGGGCCCCGGGCCCCGTAATAATCTGTTTCACTGTCTTTCCTGCCCAGGGCCTGTGCCAGGGAGCTCCCTTAGAGACTGCTTGGCTAAGGGGGCTCAGGGTGTGCAGGGGAGGAGGGCAACCACCAGGTGGGCGTCCTGACCTTGAGGGGCTGGGTGACGAACACACTCTCCGCCAAGGACACGGCCATGGACAGCAGCCACCGGAGGGAGCCAGTGCGCCCGTAGTGCAGGCCGTAGAGCATGGTGAAGAAGGCTGCTGTGCTGCTGGTGGCCGCCACCAGGAGCCAGCCCACCAGGGCGCACCACCAGGGCAGGCCACGAGGGGCTGCACCGGTGCGGGGAGCCCTGCGGGGGACACAGGGGCCAGTCTCTGAAGTGGCCGTGGCCTAATGCCTGGCCTCTCGGGCCTCAGTTTACCCCTCTGTTAGCTGTTCCTGCTGTGAATAGTTCCTCCCAGTGCCAGTGGTGACTAGTCCTGGGCCTGTCCTGTTTTAGATGCTTGTCCTACATTTGCTCCGCGGTTACTCATCTCAAGCCCAGAAGTTGCCTCTAAAACATTTTAAACCACTCTTCTGGGGGTGCAGCTCCATGGTACAGTGCTTGCTTTGCTTGCGTCAGGCACAAGGTTGAGCCCCAAGTTTAA